AAAAAAATTAATTACTGGCCTAGATCGCATGATGGATATATATATATATATATATATATATATATATATATATATATATATATATATATATATATATATATATATATATATGTACTGCACTATAGTGTACAAGTAGTCCCATATTAAATAAAGATAGAACATGGGGGTGGGGGTGGGGGTGGGGGGTGGGGGGCAACAGAAATCAGAGCCCAGAAAAGTTTCATTAGGTTGGGACATAACACTGTTTATTTCCACCAAAGCAAACCCTCAAGGCTGAACCTTTTTTTCCTTTTTATGCTACCCTATCATAATTTTCTATACAAATTCTTTAATATATTATCATTACATTTAATTGGTCATGATAAATTAACACTACAATTAGGCCTTGATTAATTAATTAATTAATGCTTTTGTTGAAACATATTTCAGCATGGTGATAAAAATATACTTTTTTCTCTACTCAACTAACAGTACTATGAGTTTTTTTGTGATTATTGTTAATTTAATTTGGTTTTAAACTAACTTCATATAAAATTTTGATTTCAACATCTAGAGCATTTTGAAATATTAGTATATAATTTTTTTGTAAAATAATATCAAGAGAATTCAATTAATTGATAATCATAATGAAATCATGCCATTTTGTGTTAAAAAAAATTGTATTATTATACCGATAAACACACCAAACAACTTATACAAAAATAAAAATAAGTAATTATAAGCTTCATATCTAAATCAATATATCATAAATATAAAAATCTAAAATAAAATAAAATAATTAATTTGCTGAGCACTACTAAAATATTTACCAGATATAGGATCGTAATTAAGATAGATATATATATTATTAAAATAATATTAGCAAAAGAGACTCTATGTCAACACACAGACACAAACTAAAGAAGCTTAAAGGTTAAGTAATTAGCAATAGTAGCACCCTCTTGAAACCCTAAAAAGCAATAAAACAAAACCAGACAGAGTGAAAACAAATTAGTACTTGGTGTCTCTATTCAATATATATATGACTCTCTCTCTCTCTACACACACACACACACACATATATATATAGATGTATATATATGTATACAAGCATCATAAAGCTCCCTGCTTTATATTTTAGCTCATATATTCTCATTCTCCCTTTTCTCTCTCTTCTCTCTCTCTCTGGTGTGTGTTAGGCATAAGGGGGTTGATGTATGTGTGATACTACAAAAACCTTTACAAAAGAGAAAGAAGGAAAGAAAAATCAAAGAATTAATACAAGAATGGATTTTTCTTCCATTCCAGCTTATCTTGATTCATCCAACTGGCACCTTCAGGTATTGTTTTTTCTCCCATGGCTGCCCCTCTATACCTTCTTTCCCTATAAACCTTTATTAATTTATTAATTAATTAATAACAATTATTCAAAAGCTAAATATTCCCACCCCCACCCCCTTTTTTGTTGTTCTTCTGGGTTTTTTTTTTTTTTTTTTTTAACGTCTTTGTTAGCTCTTTTGATTTCTTTGAATATTCAAGAATACGCGTTTTCGATTTCTTGATTTTGTATTATTTTTTTATGAATTTTACTTACAGCATCAGAATCATCAAATAATTGGAATCGGCGGCAACTCGAACCCTTTACTTCCACCACCAACACGGCCTGCCGGCCATGCGCAACCTCCGCCGCCGCCGCCACTTCCTCCGCAGCCTCACGGCGGCGGATCAGCTGCTGGTTCAATCCGACCGGGATCTATGTCGGAGCGTGCACGCATGGCCAACATACCGATGCCGGAAACCGCTCTCAAATGCCCCCGCTGCGAATCGACGAACACGAAGTTCTGCTACTTCAACAACTACAGCCTCTCCCAGCCCCGCCACTTCTGCAAAACCTGCCGGAGGTACTGGACCAGAGGCGGAGCGTTGAGGAGCGTTCCGGTGGGCGGCGGCTGCCGTAGAAACAAAAGATCAAGCAAATCCACCACGTCGAAGTCTCCGGCTAGCAGCGACCGTCAAACCACCACCTCCAGCTCAACCAGCACCGTCTCCACCAACAACGGAACCACCACCACCACCACCAACACTGCTAATATCTTAGGCCTCACTCCACAACTCCCCCCTCTCCGCTTCCTCTCCCCGTTAAGCCAACTCACCGATAACTTCGCCGGCGAAATGGGTTTGAATAACTACACCGGAATTTCCGCTCCGGCTGTTGGTCCAAACGAAATGAACTTCCACAACATCGGCGGCATTAATGAACCGTGGCGGATGCAGCAGGTGCAGCAGTTCCCCTTCTTCGGCGGTTTAAATTTGGACTCAGGGATCAACTACCAGTTCCACGGCGGCGATTTAGGGTTTGGCGGCGGCGAGATGAGCCATCATCATCAACAACAACAACAAGTGAGGGCGGCGCCAAAACTTTCAAGCTCGTTCTTATCACAGCTGGCATCGGTGAAAATGGAAGACAACAACCGCGAACTGAGTTTATCGAGGCAGCTGTTAATGGCAGGAAGTATTAATAACAATGATCAGTGGATTAATAATAATAATAATAACGCGGAAAACACTAGTGCTAATAATAACTGGACTGATCTTTCCAGTTTCAGCTCTTCTTCCACTAGCAATCCCTTGCAATAATCTTTTCGTCTGTGCGCGGAATGATCGATTAATCCGATCCACTCGCGAAAACGAGGTGATCGAATGCCGCCCGCCCTTATATATATTTATAATATATGCGTAGCTAGATGGAATTGCTTTAATTAATGTACTGTTTTGGGCTCCGAAGAAAACCCTAGAATTGTTGTTAGGTTTTTTTTTTTTTTTTTTTTTTTTTTTTTTTTTTTAATTAATGTTTTGAATTTCGAGTATGTATGGAGTAGTAATATGTGTACTGATGAGAGAGTGTTTTGAAAACTGATCAGTGTGTGATTTCTTGTAGCTTTTATTTTTGTTAGAAATGGAGATCCCATCTCTTGCTTTTCATCAATGTTTAAATTAAATCAAGCTAGTTGAATTCATGTTTCATTTTTTTTTTTTAATTTGATCATATATAATTACATTTATAGCTATATTCATATGATTATAATCAATCATCCATGCTTTATTTCATACCCAGTCGAATTGGATCTTCGTTCTTAGTTTCATGACAATGGTGGATTAATTACTGTTTAATTTTTTTAATGGGTTTTAATAACCATTTTTTTTCTAGCTAGTATGCCTTCTTTCTATTAATGGTGGCCATTTAATTATATTACATTTGAAAACTAGTTAAAATATTCAACAAACACTCAACAATTAACATGTTAAAAGAGTTGTACTGATCATTTGAATCATGATTTAGTAGTATATAATTAGACCGATGATCTCATTATTAGTAATTTTATTACATGTTGGATGAATGCTTGCTAGCTCCAGTTATAATGTTTTTGGAATGAACATGATTCATGTGTGTAATTAATCAGTTATTTTAGTTGTTCGCGCCAATAATTGGTTTAGACAACGTTAATCTTGGTCTTTGTTTTGGGTTTGGTCAAGGAATTATTCTATATATTATTCTATTATTTGCTTTGAGACTTTGTTTAATATTTAATATCCAAGAATTGAAGCTGAGTATCAAAATTTGTAAAATAATGATAGAATAATAATCATTCAAATAATATAAGTTAGATAATTTTAGCTTGATACATATACAAATCAATTTCAAATAATGTTAATTAGTTATTATATATGTTAGTAATATTTTTCAAATAATATATAGTGTGTAGTGAAATAGGGAAGAGGGAAATTGATATTTACAAAGCACAAGGTTCTATGCTTGATACACACAATAATTACCTACGGATTATATTGTCCCTTCACCTAGAAAAATCCAAACAATTAACTTTTGACCGTTTCCTGTAAAAAATAAAATAAAAATAATAATAATAAAAATAAATCAGAAAATCAACCTTGATGTTAGTTATTGTGTTCACTTCCCCAAGAAAAAAAACTTGTCACTCATGATCATGTCATCGAATTTATAAACAACTGCCCCCCCCCCCCCTTTCTTTTTTATTTCTTCTTTAATGATGAAGATGTTATATGGTAGTAGTATATTCTTGAATTTATTACACAATTGATTTTCTGATCACGAGTACTATAATATAATACTCAGTTGCCAAAGAATATATAATGTTTTTTGTGGTTGATATTATCTATGTGGTTGGTCAATATATATCCTCAAAAGACTCGATTAATTCTCTGCGCACTCAATTTCACACAAAAGATCATTTCTTCATCATTCTATTCTCTATTCATTCATTCTCTTCTTCCTATTTCGAAAACCACGAAAGCATTCAAACTGATCCCCCAAAAAGAAAGTTAATTTCTCTTTAGAGAGAGAGAGAGTTTTAGAGAGAGAGAGAGAGAGAGGGTGTTCTCGATTTGTGCACCGTACCAAAACAATTAGAGAATCATCACGTAGTAGTGAAAGATGAAGACAACAAGTCGAATAGAAGGGATTTATATTTTCTCAATTTTCATGCACGCGTTTTTGGGTCCGCGTGAACATATGACTGACTCACTCATAATCTGCTCTATATATACATGTTTGGGTATTTGCTTCTTAGAGATATATATATATATATATATATATATATATATATATATATATATATATATATATATATATATATATATATATATATATATATATATATATATATATATATATATATATATATATATATATATATATATATATATATATATATATTTCCCCCTTTGCTTAATTTGTGATCAAGCAGATGCCCATGAGCTTAATTTTGCTAATTAGTGACAAATTATATTAGAATTTGTGGCCACAATTAATTTGATTAATTATATTCCGTTATTATCGCAATTAGTGGTCCTTGTGGTTGAAAATTAATTGGAAGACTAATTGAAAGGATATGATGAATATGATTGATCCTTTTGTAGTAATTATATTATTATCAAGAAAATATCCATTATATTCTAGAGAGAGTATATATTATTATAATATTATTATTAGTTATTACACCAAAACCTTACTGCAGACAGGTTATACTATAAGGTAAGGAATCTTCGGTAATTCACTTTTGTAAGAATCAAGGCAGCCTACCCAACATCGAATAAAGTCATTATTCCAATAAAGCTATCTCTCTCTCTCTCTCTCTCTCTCTCTCTCTCTCTCTCTCTCTCTCTCTCTCTCTCTCTCTCGCGCACACACACACACACAGATATAGATATGCACACACACACATGCATAGAGAGTCAGAGATAATCATGCAGATTTGATTATTTGTCGGTTAGTTGTCTTAATTATTGATTGGCTTATGCTTAGATATTATTAATTGTGGGATTATATATATTATTACAGTATCAAAATAGAGATCCCAAGAGTGTCAGTTTATTATGCGGTCGCACATTAATATATTCAAACAAATAGCAATCCCTCCTTTATAATTGCTATTCAAATTATTAATTAGAAATAGATTAATTATATTGTTAATTGGCTCGGAAATTCAAACCAGATCTTGCCATCTATTCTCTTCACATAATACATATCTATACACCCACTTAGCTTGGAATACACACACACTGTGTGTGTGTACAGAAAACATGCAGCTTTAATTTTGCTTTTATAACGTTCTTCAAATGTATATATATATATATATATACACAGATAGTGTAATATATGGAAAATAAATAAATAGTACAGTACATAATAATTTTAGTAAAGTGGAAGGTTTGAGATTCCCAGTAGTAACAAGTCATTGTCTTTCACGTTGCCCCCTCTCATTCCCCTCATTAATCACACACACACACACACACACACACACACACACACACACACATACATATATATATATATATATATCGAATCTGATTCCTCATTCATTTTCCAGGTTCAAAATTTTCCTGTCCCACCTGCCTCGCTATCAACATTATTATGCCATAATAATAGACGCACCTATACTATATATAAGTATTATATATAAATAATAGGGTAAATTACAACCACCTCCCTGAGGTATGGTCAAATTACGAAAACCCCCCTCTTGTTTGAATAATTACAACTACCCCTCAACTCCTCAAATTTAGTGGAAATCTTCGAGATTATATGGAATATTATCACTTTTGTACCCGTTTTATCCCTTCGAACTCTACATTTTGAAGCAAAATGATCATAATATGTGTTTTTTGGCTTGTATATATCAGACTGTGGTGCATCGGAAACTGTACTTTTACACAAAACGAGTACAACTAGAGCACATTCCACGAAATCTAGATGATTATGTTGGATTTGACACCAGAAGGGTGAAGGTGTAAGAAAAAATCATAGTTGAGGGGATAAATGTAATTATCCAAACAAGAGGGATTTTTTCGTAAATTCACCATACCTGGGTGGGTGGGGGGGGGTGTTTGTAATTTACCCTAAATAATATAATATTGTTGACAAGGATCTCACATTCAATCAATACGCACTAGATAAATCTCGATCGATTGATGATCTCGTGTAATAATTTGTAAACAAATTCACATATTTAATTACTTCATTTTTTTAGGAAATGAGACGGTAATCTAATTTCCAGTAAATTGAAACAGTATAGAATTGAACAGATAGGAACAAGTGGGGCAAGCTTCTATTAGTACAGTCCTTGAAAAGTATTTCATTTCTCCCCTCTCTCTCTCTTCGTGCTTTTGCTTCTGGTTTTCGGGATATTTTTTTTTAAATTTTTATGATTGGTGCTATCTAGTTTTTAATCAACAAAGCCAAAAGCTATGCATTCTTTCTCGAAAGATATGAGTTTCGAAGCATCCTATGTTTGCCGTTTATTTTCCACAAAAAAATATACCATGTATGTGAGGCTTTTCAATTGATATTTTTAAAGAATCAATGACCCCAAATTCGTAGTAAACAATTAAATCAAAGATGTTATGCGAGTTGTGATAACCTTTAATAATAACGAAACACATAGTTTAATCTCACTTTTCTCTTCTAAATTTCATGGTGAAATTTGACAATGTGGACTTGTATTTATAGACTTTAGAATGCGTTCACTATCTGTGCAACTTAAGCGAGAAAACAAGCACTAATAATATAACAGTTTAATGGGTTAGTAGATAGAATAAATAATCACCACAAACCTATTATTAATTAACCGTGTAACCCATGATCTAATTTAAATTTTAAAAAAGTTAAAACATGTGGACTAAATCTATTCACTACTTTTCATGTTTATTAGATTGTATGAAAATTAAAATTTATTTACAATATAAACCAAATAAAAAAGGGTGCTCATTTTCTCAATCAAATCATGCATAGTAACAAACCTATTAGTAAAGCGTATGAAAGGAACATTATTCAAAGACTCTAGTATATAAAGTCGTACTATTTTTTTTTCCATCAAGCAAGTTAGTATTATTAATTATTAATAATTCAAATGTAATATTATAATTAATTTGTTGATGGAGATGTGGCTTTTTGGAAGTGGGTTGTCGCGTTTCGGATTAATTAATTATAAACTAATTTGGTTTTCGTTGTACCATGCATGCAAGGCATTATCCACATGACCGTCCCAATTCCAATGCATGATTGCGTGACCACGCACTTATGTTTGTCGCTTATTTTTATCTTCGGTTTCGAATTTTTATTTCATTTATCATTCCTATAAACTCAACGGTTCGTTTGGGTAGCGAATTGAGCCTGGTGCCCACAAAAAAACCAACATACGTATATTACAATTGAAACTCGTATACTATAACCGTCAGTACTCGATTTTAGAATCTTGTACCAACTATCAATTGACACCCCGAACCAGTTGAGCTACCCGTGCAGGCATATCATTCTTATAACCAGCATTCGATCTTAGGAACTTGTATCAATTGACCCGAACCGGTTGAATTACCCATGGCGGCGTATCATTCTTATAAACTCATACGAAAGTAAACATGCAAAAGTTCGGTATTGATGTCTATTTCAACTGATAAATTAATGCATTATGAAAATTGAGATTCGAATCTTGACCTTTCACTAAACGTCAAAGAGTGTTTAATACCAATTTGATTAAGTTTTACCGGTTTAAATCATTATAATGTTGTTCTAAAGCATTAGTTAACACCTAATTGCGCAATTAACACTAAAAGGCCCACGAAATCAGCGTTGGGATTGGGCTAGATTGTTCATTGTTTGTTAATATTGTTGAGCCCAATAATAGATTCGGCTATTTTCTGAATCAGCCCAATTCAGCTAACTGGACTTTCTGGATCTAACTTCAGCAGAATGATTACCACTGCCACCGTGGCACCGCCATCTGAGTCGCCGTGGTGGGGTGGCGCGTTGAAGCTAGGTAACTTTAACTCGGAGAAGCGAACAGTTCCAGAGAAACTGAAGCAAATGAGCTTATTTGACGCAGTTCAAATTTGGAGAGCTCGAAACAGTTGGAGCAATGACGGATGAAGAAAATCCCCAATTGATCCTCTCTGCTGCCAATTCTACTCCAGTAGTCTGACCATGGTAAACATTTTCTCTCTTAATTGGTTTTTTTTTTTTTTTTTCATTTACTGTACGCACACCGTGAAAAAACCAAATCAATCTGCTTATTCGTTTGTTTCTATGAGTGCTCCATGCGATTTTCTGTGTGCGCGTGTGTGATTTGTTGTGACTAATTGCATGTTTGAAGATTGTTAATTCAAAAACTGAGCAAGAGGAAATGGAAACCATGCTTTTAGCTTTAGGTTGAATAGATTCACAAGAGGAAAAAAAAGGGGGGAACTACATAGGTACATTGTTCATACAAAAATTAGTGCAAGCAATAAGAAGCTTAATCTCTGAAGAGATTAGCCGCCTGACGACTGACTTTAAGAGGCAGCCCAAAATTCTGATAAACCCTAATCTCACCTTCCAAGCTCGCCGTCACAATGACTAGCCCCCATGCCGTTGCTTGAACAGTGTGACCCCCTTGCCCCCCATCAAACAAAGACCAAGAAGTTGACCAAGACTGCGATGGGGAAGTGGCGGAAGCAGAAATGGAAGGCGACTCACCATAACTAATCGATGCAGACGATGAATCGAAAGAGTCCCTCACGCCTATTCCAGGATCTATGGGAGCGGATTGAGCGAATTCCTCATCAGCACCGCTCGATACCCTCTCCAAACGGTTGTTCTTCTTGGGCAGAGGGGGCAATTGCCTCCTGCTACTGGTCCCCACCAAGTTTTCCTCACGGGTCGGAGAGTTGCTGCTGGAATTTGGTGGTAGTGGAGCGGTTGACCGTTTTGAGTGTCTTTTGGAATGTATTTCTACTACCGGTGGCTCGTTTTTTATGCTACCTGGCCATGGGATTGCTACCGATACATCCCTACAGTGGAAGTGCTCGTGTGCTTGTACGGTGATTCTGCTTTTTCTCTTTCCACCGCTCGGACTTTTGGACTCTTCGACTTTCCATATATAGACCTGAGAGTCCTCGCTGGCGCTTATGACGTGTCTTCCGTCTGGACTGAATGAAGCTGCAATCTGGCTGCCCGTGTTTCGAAATCCTGTGATGATAATGATGGGAAATTGATTGGTTTGAGTTTGCCGGTCGTTGCCTCGTGAAGTTATGAATGAGTATGTGAGAGGTGGCATTATAATTTGTACCTCTATATTTTTGGACGAGCTCTGGTCCATTATGTATCCGAATTCGAGAATCAGTGGAAGTGATGAGCACTTCAGATGGATTCCAAGGAGCATACTGCAGGTAAAGTAAATATTAAACAATTTGGGAATTGGTTTGAATGGAAGGAGTTAGATCGTGGATTGAAGATTACCTGAAAACCAGTGACTTTTTTGGGTTGAGTTTGAGATTGAAAACCAGGGAGTTTTTTGGCTTGAGACTTCGTCTTCAACTGGATATCACTGAGGTGTTCCAGTTTGCAATCTAGGATATAAAAGCACACTCAGAATAAGGTATTACTAGTGTTAAAAAGAGTATCGAAAACCTTGCAGTTGGAAGACGTTCTTACCATCAATGCTATAAGTTCGACAGATCCCTTGATGAGAACCAATAATAGCACCCTTCAAAGATGGAAATAAATGAAATCAGAACAATGTTTTCGTCACTTATTTGATCAAGGATTGCATTTTCTTTCTCATTCTAATGTTATTTGTTCTTCTAGACGAACTAACTTAGCAGAGATTGAAATGATTCCTACTTGATTTTTCTGAAGCTAAGTAAACTACTAAAGACACTAAACATGCATGTGTTGGTCAGAGTTTATTATAAAAGATCTAATCAACACAAAAGTAGCTTATTCATAGAAATCTTTATTGCAGATTTATTTTTAAAGAATTTCATCTGGGCTACCTGACCATCGGGAGTGTAGCTAGCAGCAGTAACCATTTCATGAAGATCTGTCCAGTCAACAACCTTACGAGCAGGTATATTCCAAATTCGAACCTTTCCATCTAGTGAGCCGCTCATAAAGTAGTTGTCATCTACTGGATTGAACTGTATGCAAGTTACTGCCATATCATCATAGACTCATTAGGCATAAATAATGATCCATGCAAGTAAAGAGACTTATCATACCACTTTTAAGCGATTGATGACTGAGTAACTGCAGTATAATTTGGCATCTCACCATAGTCATTGTGTGCAAACATCTTCAGACAGCTCTTTGTTTCCAGATCCCACATCCTAACCGTCTTATCCATTGAAGATGAAAGCAATAGCTGCGAATAATATCTGACTTAGTCAACTATTTCTGAAAACCAATTATGTTCATACTATTCATAAAGAAATACATTGAACTCTTTCATTTATTTAGGAATTTAGGAATTATATAAAATAAAATGACTAAGCCTCAACTTTCCCATGATTAAGCTAAATTTGCAAGAAGCTGACCTGTGATGTCGACCACGAGAGATCCAGGACATGATCTTGATGACCTTTGAAAGTGAATACTGGTTTCTCTGAAAGAGCAAAAACAGTATCTGGCACATTTACATAGTCCGGGATTGAGTTGCCTTTCTTTTTGTTATTTTTACCCTTTTTCTTCCTTTCAGATGGCATAGGTATTATTTCCGCAAGTGGAGGACGGTCTGAAGCAATCCCAGCCATCGGATGAACAGGTGTGCCACCGGCCGAACTCAAATCATCGCCTGATCTTGCCGACAGCACGTCACATTCCTGCACTTCCCACACATGAATCACTTTATCTTCACCTGCACTTGCTAGAAAACGTGCGTCACAGCTGAATCTAATAGCCCATATAGAACCCTCGTGCGCTAGTATTTCTTGAGACATATGCAGTGCCGTAAATTCTTTGTATGATTTCCCATGCTGACGAGCTTTTACCCATTCCGATGTAGCCTTAGGAGGAGGAGGAGGAGCTGTCTGTTCTTCTGGAAAAGAATGCTCTTGTTCTTTGTTTAATCCGCTCATCGAAGTTGCCACGCCTTTGATATTCTTCAAAATTGCAGCTCCCTTTCTCTTGCTATTTCTGAAACTCTTTGAAAAATACGAGTTGTTGTTGATTTTCCTCCCATCGTCATGACTATTTCCTCCCACATTCTGCCTGCGCATCAATTCCTTGACAACCGGTGAATATCCAACCGACTTCTCGAATTCCTCCATTGTAAGTTGCTTCCCTGTCTGAACATCACTGAGCTTATTCCACATGCCCTGTTCGTTATACTCTTTAACAATAAACTCCTTTCCAGTGTCCAAATTCTTTATCAGGAAGAACGAACCAAACGCACCGTCCGGCACCACAGACTGTAGCACATCATTGTTTGGATTCAATAATCTGCTTTTCGCTCTGTCTGGGGATATTCTAACAGCGTTAGAGTATTGACACACACCAGTGGTAGGTATAGCTAGGCCTGAAGATGTTCTAGTGAGTCTTTGTTTCGATACAGGCCCGATTAATTCTTCTTTCCTTTGCTTTGTTCTTGCAGAAAAGGCATCTATGTCACTATCCGATCTCGACCGTACAAGCACAACTGCCGTCGGATGTGAATCCAACGGTGAAGAAGAAGAAGGCTCCTCTTTTCTTGATTCCTTTTCTGGAGAAGAAGTACCGACATTTGCTGTACTAGAAGGAGAAGGAGACGAAAAATCGAGCTTTACTGTGGTAGAAGAATCGGGCTTTATGGAAACTTGGCCATTATTATTATCATGGTGTTTTCTCGAAACTGCTCCGACAATCTTGGAGCTAGCAAGTCTGAGCATATCCTTTGTGCTGGAAAGGCCCATGTCTTGAAAGAGGCGTTTTCGCCTCTCACGAATATCACCTGGCTCAGACATCCACATATCATAGCCACCCATTATTGAAGAAGATTTTGCACTTGAATCCACGGACCGGATGCTTTTGATCGTGGCTGAAGAGATAGCCGAAACGAAAGACATCCGACTATCCTCGAAATCCTCATCCTCGTCCGATCCAGAAGAAGCCAAATCGAGTGGGACCACTGAGGATATTCTCTCGCGGGATTCGAAGAAACGGTCATCGTCATCGTCTTCTCCGAGACCATCCCAATTCATGGTTAGTGTCCTTCGATTCATCGTTGCACATTGCATGTGTAACAAACTGGACAGATTTTTGAAATCTAGGATATGGAAACAGACAAGAAATTAATGTGTGTGTGCGTGTGTGTGTGTTTCTTGGGAAGATTGGAAACGAAAGAAAAAAAAAATCAAGAATTTTGGTGAATGTTGAGGAAAAGAGAGAGCAGTGGCTGGAAAGGGGAGAAGTGGAGGGGAGGAAAACAAGGAACATAAAAAATAAGACGTTACATTTGTCTTAAACAAAACAAAATTAGGAAAATAAGAAAGAAATGGTCAATAATGGTCATTACCTCTCTTCACGTCTATATGCCAATAATAACATGCATGCATTTACTCTGCTTATATATTATATTTATTCTTTTTCATTTTTAATATATAGTTGTATATTAACATTTATTGTGACGTTCCATTCATATTTGCCTCAATCAATGTTTAATCTGACTTAAGTTTTCTTTTTCTTGGAAGTGCGGAGTGCCCTTAATTAATTAGGTAGGTATAACGCTAGTCGTATGCAACTCAGAATTCTGTTTAAGACCCATTCTTCACATATATATACATACATATACACGTATTTGTATGTAATTTAGTTATGATTATATCCTGTAATAAAAAAAATTAATAGAATATTTATTAATTTGTTATATTCTGTAATTAGCAGATTTCATTATCTCTTGGAGCTTTACTTTGTTTTCTGGCCCTCTAAATTATCCGGAGTCATGGGCAAGGAATTAAGTCAACCACAATCGACATATCAAATTTCGATGCTCCGGTGACATGTGCCGGTGATTTTTGCCTCTTCAGCATTAAAATTTATGATTGAAAGATGAGAAACAGTAGCCATGCTATTTATACCGGGTGAATTTTTACTGTTGATCTACACACACTAATGTGTGGTGTGTGTATATGAATGTTAAAGATTTACTCGGTGTAGTATAGCATAAACCGAGTAGCCACGAAGTTCTCTTCTCCATTATGAACATTAACATTAATATGTATACTTACTCCAGTTTGATGATTAGTATTATTATCAAGATTTTCTTTAAATTCGGATTCAATTTCTTGATAAAATTAACATGGATTTTCTGACGTGGGTGAGTCCGTAATTGATAATCCATTGACATTGTAAAGGCTTTCTTTCTAGGATAAATTAATTGGCCAAATATTGATATTTTAATGTCACCACTCATTTGCACTATATAATATATTTTTTTATTACATAAAATATTTGGCGAAATGCAAAATAAAGAGTGAAGAAAAAGAAAAGGCCGTGGATGTTTTCTTGGAGTAAAAGAGCATATACTTCTGTTTGAAGATTCGATCACTTATTATTACATGTACAGTTGTACTAGTAACTTTATTGTATAATAATATTTAATTATTATGAACTAATTTAATTTGTATTTAATGTTATCGACCAATATATTACCTATTTACCGCTAGTGCCAATTACACTTAATTGTAAATATTTACAAGAATTTGAGTGGTAACTAAAATTACGCTAAGCAGACGGTATTGATATTATGATAAAGGTGAGGGGGGAACATGAACTAAAATTAAAAATACCCTATTAAAAATTAAAATAACCCAATTAAAAAAGAAAATGACCCTAAAAACATTCATGTACACAAATTGCACGAGTCAATCGGAGACAAAGCGCGATTCGAGGTGCATTTAAAGGTGAATTTCATTTCGTTGACATCTGCATTTCAGTTCGCTCGTTTTCTCTGCTCCATTTATTTGAAACGTGAGACGCTCAACTCTGGGAACAACAGAAACATCCTCCCATTTCTCGAAATACGCGTCGTCGTCATTCGATCCATTATTCTTATTAATCCACTTCTCCCAACAAAATTAAGGTGAAGAAATTCTCCCCCAATCTCTCAATTTCCGATTGTTCATCTTCTTCTATTTGCCTGTACGTAGAAAAAAAAGAGTATGCTCTCACTTTGTTTTTTCTAATCGATCGGTATTTTCATTTTCATTTTCAAAATGTGTGCCACTCGATATATGTGTCTGTGTATGTATATGCATGTTATGTATGAGATCTTTGATCAGATGATGCGATCGATCGTACGAGCAGCTGATCGCTGGCAATTGAGATTTATATTATATTACTTGTGATTTGTGAATTTTGACCTTTCGAATGTTCATCCTTTACTCCTTTCCCCTACTCTGTTTGCTGTTCTGATTTGAGTTTCATCGATTCATCTGTTTGATTGAAGAATTGCCGTTCGTCGTTTGATATATCAAATTTTTGAATGATATATATTGTTACTAACTGCATGTATGATTGGAAGGTACAACTCAAGGATCCGATTGGTGGATAATTTCATTTTCAATTAAAAAGGAAGAAGGATTGCAATTATTACGCGTGTCTAGAAATGGAAATGATTAGCGTACATTTTTCATCTGATATGATAGTTGTCTCACGATCTATCTATCTATGATAGATCGAAATTAGTTACAGTTACTAACCAGCGGACGCTGTTATTGTATAATTGTTTTTTCTATACGAAGATCCGATTCATTTGACAGAGTATACCAAATAAAATATCATAACTACTGTTACTTATGAATCGTGATTGAAAATCTTGATGATTTTTGTGTTTCTTTGCCAGCTCAACAACTAAATGGCTGACGGCGAGGATATTCAACCCCTTGTTTGTGACAATGGAACAGGAATGGTCAAGGTAAAAAAAAATTTGTTTCAACAAAGATCATCGATTCCTTAGTAATTTACCCCCCTTGGGTTAAGATCTGACTCTATGCTCAATGTTCGTATTGTTGGTTGAATTGTGATATGTTTTAGGCTGGATTTGCTGGAGATGATGCTCCGAGAGCCGTGTTCCCTAGCATTATCGGTCGCCCACGTCACACAGGTGTAATGGTTGGAATGGGGCAGAAAGATGCATATGTTGGGGACGAGGCCCAGTCGAAGAGGGGTATTCTCTCTCTCAAGTACCCAATTGAACATGGTATTGTTAACAATTGGGATGACATGGAGAAGATTTGGCATCACACTTTCTATAACGAACTCCGTGTTGCTCCGGAGGAGCATCCAGTTCTTCTCACTGAAGCACCTCTCAACCCCAAGGCTAATCGTGAAAAGATGACTCAGATCATGTTCGAGACTTTCAATCCCCCGCTGTGTATGTTGCTATCCAGGCTGTTCTCTCCCTCTATGCCAGTGGTCGTACTACTGGTAAGTTGATCCGATTTTTCCTTTATTTATGGATGGGGTTATCATGGTTGAATATAGAAATGGGAAAAATTGGAGGATGTCAAAGCTATATGTTAACACTTCTATTAAGTTCAAAACCTTATTCTACACAGCAGTTGGCATTCTTGATGAAACCATGCCCTTGCTTATGCTATGGCTTTCTGTGCAGGTATTGTGATGGACTCAGGTGATGGTGTGAGCCACACAGTTCCGATTTACGAAGGGTACTCTCTCCCCCATGCTATTCTCCGTCTCGACCTTGCTGGGCGTGACCTCACGGACCAGCTGGCGAAAATCCTCACCGAGCGTGGGTACAGTTTCACCACCTCAGCTGAGAAGGAAATTGTGAGGGACATGAAAGAGAAGCTGGCGTACATTGCCCTCGATTTCGAGCAAGAAATGGAGACTGCAAAGACAAGCTCTGGCGTCGAGAAGAACTTTGAACTGCCAGACGGACAGGTCATCACTATCGGAAACGAGCGTTTCCGTTGCCCTGAGGTCCTCTTCCAGCCGTCTATGATCGGAATGGAAGCTGCTGGTATACACGAGACCACGTACAACTCGATCATGAAATGTGACGTGGATATTAGGAAGGATCTGTATGGCAACATTGTACTCAGTGGTGGGTCCACCATGTTTGCTGGCATTGCTGATAGAATGAGCAAGGAGATCACTGCATTGGCTCCTAGCAGCATGAAGATTAAGGTGGTGGCTCCGCCTGAGAGGAAGTACAGTGTTTGGATTGGTGGTTCTATCTTAGCCTCCCTCAGTACCTTCCAGCAGGCATGTTTCTTTCTTGTTTTTTTGTTTTTCTTTAATATCTAAACAAAACATTCACTTGTCTGAATTCTGATTGTTGTTGTTCTAATTGTTTGCAGATGTGGATAGCGAAGTCCGAGTACGATGAATCTGGACCGTCGATTGTTCATAGGAAATGTTTCTAAGCAGAAGCATTTTTGTCAGTATCCTAATTATTGCTCAGCTCTGGGATGAGAATGCTACCTCTAGTACTACCACCGGTTCTGTGATTTTCCGACTATAGAATTTTTTTTATCTATTCGTTCGTTGGTTTTCGTGTCTGCAGCGAAATTAAGCAGTGTTGTCTGTGTTTGTTCTTTTGTTTTGTTTTTCCCTTCAAGGATTTCTTGCATACTTGAGTTTGTTTTGCTAATAAAGTATAAGTAGATCGTATTTTATTTGATTTGTTTCTTCTTTTTCTCTGTTTTTTTTGTTGTTTACACTTCAATTAGAAATAAAGGGTAAATTAGTATTTTCCCATTTTCCAAATTAGTATCATACATTCCAATATTGAAGAAAAAGAAATTAAGATGGGAAAGTGCAAACCCTAATTCCAAAAAACGCCAATCAAGATTTTGCCAAATCAAAAACTTCCAATTCGTTTTAATGAAATTACCGAAATTAAATAACTACGTTTATTATTTCCCGCTGTGGCGAGGAACACACTACAGTTTACCAGCATGATTGTTCTTCCCCTTTTCCTCCAAATCTTAATCAACTGATATAAAAATGGAGTCGTCTGAAGTTAGAGTGAGGTACGATCTCCACTAGCCACCACACTACGGCTATTCGTCGATTGAGATTCTGCAATTATAATCGCTAGATCTCATCCGATGCCTGCTAACCAGCTCAGGCTTCCTCGTTCCGCCGCCGACGGAGGCTTTCCATGGCGGTGGTGGCGTCAATTATCAAAACGTCACTGGACCATCGCCGCCGCCGCTGCTGCCGCCGCATTCTCTGTTTTTCTTCTCATCTTCCCTAGAATCTCGTTCTCGCGTACATTAACGGATACAAATACGAATTCAGGAGCTTCCGAGTGGGTGCCTTTCACGCCTTCATCCAAAGCACAGGAAAAGTCCGCGTGTAACAATCTGTCTATCTCTGTTTATCGTTTTCTAATTTCAATTCAAAAGGAAATGTAATTGTTTCATATTAGTACTCATATATGTGTTTGATTCACTGCGGAATACTTGCAGTTTGTTTGGATGGGAGTTTGCCTGGGTATCATATACAAAGAGGCTTTGGATCTGGCTCTGACAGTTGGCTTCTCCATGTTGAGGTTTCCTCTTTACTGATTTACTTACTAAATGCCCTAAAATATGAATTAAAGTGCAAATTAGTCCCTCTTATTTTTTATTCTGATCTTCCATACATTTATTTGTTATTAACATCAAACTGCAAATATCGTTTTGGTTATTCGCTTATGTTGGGAAAAATCCGATTCATTTAATTCTCAGCTGCTCTAAATATTGTATTCCAAGTTATCGATAATAGATATAATAACAATTCTAAACTTGAGTTTCTTCAGAATGATATTCGTGTTAGATTCTTTAAAGACATCTGCTAGGTTATTTGCTGTAAGTAAGATGATATGGAGGATACTACAATTGTATCAACAATGCCCTTGATAAATTAGATCTCGTCCTAGCTGGTGATCTTCTGGGATAACTGTTGAGAGTTACTGATTTTCTGCAGTGGTGGATTAAATACTTATTATATACTCCAATTGTTATATAGGGTGGAGGATGGTGCAACACTGTATCGTCATGTTCTTCTCGGAAGAAGACGAGCTTAGGTTCATCAACCTACATGGAACATCGAGTTCAATTTTTTGGAATTCTGAGCCATGACCCACTTCAGAATCCCGGTATGTAAATCATAATCGGGCACCCTATCCTAAAATATGAGTGCACAATTCTTTATTTATTTGTTCTTCTCATTTGGAACTTTATTTATATGTGCTTAGCATTGCATGTTTATCCGTTACCACAACTTAGTGATTTGGCTATTTCATGAACATTGCATTAGCATGTCTCCTTCAACATACAAATTACACGGTTTGCCATATAGTAGTTTACATAATTTATGATTCCTGTTTTCGGTTGAAGATCTTTACAAGTTTTTATTCTCTGGAAGATTTCTTGTCAATGCAAATTGGTGTAACTTGCAAAGAATACATGAATTATTTACTTGCTAAGCGAAGGAATAAATGTAACTGAGTTATATATCTTCCTTGGTTTACACTGCCAAAAGAATCTCTAGTGGAGATGTGATTTTGTAGATTTATCTATGTTGGGGTGATACAAAATTCAATATTCATTTCTTCAGTTATTTATTGTTTGGGCATCTTCAGATTTTTTCAACTGGAACAAGGTGAAAATAAGGTATTGTGATGGATCCTCATTTTCCAGTCACCCAGAGAGTGAGCCTAATAATGTAAGTCCCGCAAATTTAACTTCAAATTCGATATAATGTTGGTGCACTTCTCTAGCATGCCTTTGTGACAACAAGATAATGTGATGACGGTAATTTGAATATATTCCCATTCATCTATGCCTCAGAATGGAACTAAAATTTTCTTTAGAGGTCAGCTTATCTGGGACACGCTTATGGATGAGATATTGTCAATTGGGATGTCTAAAGCTAAAGAGGTAGATGAGCTGTATTCTCTCTCCGTGTTTTCTTCTTTTTTGTAGGTAAGCAGTAAAGTTCATCATTTTATGTTTTAGTCGTTATTTATTTTAGGACAAATGATATGATTGACATGAGAGTATTTATCATTTCCACTTACTATTTTGAGTGAATCAAATTTCAATCTTTTAACCATTTTCATTTTGCAGTTATGTTATCATCAACTCCATACATGAGTTCCATTTTATCTTATCTTTCCTACATGATATCATTGATATTGATGAATAGGTTCATCTAGAGATGAAGTGAATTTTATCCTGGTGCCAAAGAGACAGTATACGTATTTATTTATGTTTGCTGAAAGTCTGCATTATTCCCAAATGTTTAATATTAGGTCCTTACATGTGCATTCGACAACTTTACAGGCCTTTCTGACAGGATGCTCTGCTGGTGGTTTGGCCACACTCATACACTGTGATGACTTTCGGGATCTTCTGCCGAAAGATACAAATGTCAAGTGCCTTGCCGATGCAAGTTTTTTTCTTAATGAGTATGTGTTTTACCTCACCCTCTATTTGACTGTATTATCTGGTTTATCTTCAACTGATCTCTCCCTCAGAAAGAAATATCGGCCAAACTTAATTTTAGATTACCTCCTGATATATGTGGTTTTTCTTTATGTTTCTTTCATGCACAATTTTCCTTTAGAGTGTTTTCCGAAATTTCTGCAGTGGATTTTCTTGCAAAGCGTATTTCGTTTTTACTTTAGCTCACTTAATGTTGGACAAGTAAAATGTAGTCATATCAGAGTAACCAACATGCTAAACAAGATGCGTATGACTTCTGGGATTCGTTACAATTAAAGGCACAAGGCAGTTTGAACTTAAGATAATGTTTGGTTAAGAACTGTAATAATCGTAATTGTATTTGTTGTCCTATTTAAACTGAGATGTGATTTGTTTTCTTTGGACAGGAAAGATATTGCTGGAAAACCCACCATAGAATCCTTTTATCATGGCGTTGTACATAACCAGGTTTCTTAAAACATCATAAACAAATTTCTTGCAAATTTCCCTTTAAAATTCCCTTTAGATGTCTCTTCACTGTCTTTTTATTTGATTTTCTCAATGAATTGTAAATTTTTTTTTGCTACAACTGGAAATACAATTAACAATTCATGCTTTCTTCACCTAATTGTAGGGTGTAGCTAAAAGTTTGAACCGTGATTGTGCTGCCAGATCTGAACCTTCTAAGGTGCTTTTTCTTTTTTGTGAATGCTTTTCTCCTTTCTTGGATATTATATAAAAAATTTCTTCATTGCTCACTTTTGGTTGCGTATTCTTGATTCCGGTGCCAGTGTTTCTTCCCTCAAGAATTTATAGCAAATATAAAGACCCCGGTTTTCCTTGTTCAACCCGCATATGATTTTTGGCAGGTATCTTCCATTTCATGCTATCTTATAAACATTGATAATATCAAAAAAGAGATACATACACACATTATATATACATATAAACATTTCTTATAACTTGTTCCAGATAGCAAATATTTTGGTGCCTGATTCATCGGACCGCAATAGCAGCTGGATCCGGTGCAAGCTAAATATTTTGAATTGTGATTCCAAACAACTAAATGTGCTTCATGGTATTATTTAGATATGGCATGTCTTGTATTCATCACATGTAATATAATCATATTTTTGATGATCAGAATTACCTGGGATTTCCCATTTGAGAAAATTAAATTCCTCTTCCTCCATTCACTGTACATTCATCATTTGTAATGCCAAATAATATGTTTTCATGCATGCAGGTTTCAGAAATTCATTGCTCACGACACTCCAGAAATTTAGACAAAATCCGAAAGGGGGACTATTTGTCAATTCTTGTTTTGTCCATTGCCAGACATGGGCAGCTGGGACATGGCATTCGCCCACTTCTCCTAGAATCAACAATAAAGTAAGTTCTGATTATAAATAATTTGCATGCCTATTCAAGTCAAATTTTGTTTAGCATTTTTTTAATTTCAAACTTGAGCGGTAGTTATAACTTATAAATATACAATTAGCTCGGACATCAAAATTTGAAATTTAAGTAGAAGTACAGTGCAGACTAATCTAACCTCTAGCTTGTGCCCACAAGTTATGTCTAGATAGCTGTGAAGAGAGTTTGAGTCAATGCATGCACTACGGGTTTTTTGATTCATATTCTAATGCTCGAGTTTTGGGACACATTTTCTTACTAAACTGATCGAAAAAGAAGGGAAATCAGCCCAAATTAATTTTTATTTTCTACAACTTAATCAATCCCATTATTGTTTTTTCGAAACAGACAGTTGCAGAAGCAGTAGGTGATTGGTACTTTAGAAGAGGAGAATCAGTGCATATTGACTGTCCATTTCCCTGCAATCCCACTTGCTATCATAGAGATCTCACTTTTGGGTGACACGACGAAGATCAGTATATATATATATATATATATATATATATATATATATATATATAGGTTGCTATCATATTTTATTTTGGCTCATAAAAGTGACTTTCTTCAACACTGTTTATAAACTTGCTTTTTTTTTTTTTCAGTTTAATCCAGACAAACGGGCTTTGTGTGCACGTGGGCCATTTGTTTCGCTTAGACCGCCCCAAGTAGAAATGGACTAATGGACCGAATTCTTGATAAATTCTTTTGGGCTAAAAAAATCCAACATGAGAAATAACAGCCGAATTCCTGACTTGCAGGATTGATGATATTCAATTCAAGGTGTGTTTTTTTTCTTTCTTTGGCCAGTTGGAGGTGACGTCATTTCAGTATTGATCGTAAATTCTGGTACGTACGTAGTGACAGTTGTATACTTGCTGGTGGTGGTGGGTCAGCTTTAATCTGGCTGTTTGGCTCTATTTTTGGAATAAGAAAAACGTTATATATAGACTTGACAATTTAATACTTATTATTATTATTATTATTATTATTATTATTATTATTATTATTATTATTAATATTATTATAATAATAATAATAACTTGGAAAATCAGATAAGTTGTTTTCTCACGCGCGTCCGTGTCAAATAAGCAAAAGTCAACCGGCAATTCTTAGTGGTTTATTGCATGGCTACGTGCTCATGATACACTCCAGTTGGGCCAAAATTGTATGCGAATGGGTAAAATTACCATCCAGCCCATGCCTAACATTATTCATATCCCACTCTTTCTTATGACGTTCACCTTCAAGCTTTTTCCCTCTATTAAAATTGAAGTATTCACCGTAAAATTAAATATTTTTATGAAGAAATGAAGGAACATGCAGCCAATCATATATGTCAACTATGTAAACTTACACTCTCGTGTAAATTCGAGAATTGTATTTCGTTTCATCGGAAAAAAAAATTGTTCTCGAATTTGCCAAATAAACAAGAAGTATTTCTCCCCTTTACAAACTAAAATTTCAACAACTTTCCTAAAATAGGGGAACCCAAATTTAGATTGGTTGGGTCGAGTGTTGAGAATTAAAAAGAGAGGGCCACAAAAAAAAAATTAATGGATTAGGTGTTTTAGGTGGCGGTGAAAAAAGAGCAATCACCATCACTTTACTGATTCCAACAACAGCCCTCCTATTGATTGTGACACTCCTAAGTTTTTAGTTACCAAACTTTGGCTTCAAACATTAAATTTAATTTAATATAATGTCACGAGATGTCAGAGTTACCAAAACCACAAGCTATTGTCCCAACATTTTTTTAAAGTTAGCATGTACCTTTGACTTCTTGTTCACATACCTAATTTTTATTTATTTATTTATTTATTTTATTTAGGGGTGTTATTGCATTAATTAGAAACCTACCCCAGTTTCTATATGCATCATCTTCCAACTAAATCATTTGAACCAAATGAATGGAAAGGCTCATGCAAATGCAATCTTTTTGTCTGCTAGTGTTGGTCAACTATCTCATTGTTGTTTACTTTCCACTATTTGCATTATTCATTACTGATTATTGATTATTGATTATTGGCTGCCTTTTTTTTTTTTTTTTAATTTAGACCCTTTAAAAATTGTTTATTACATTTAAGTTGTGCAAATTGTTAGTCAAACAAAATATTATTATTCATCAAAAAATATATATTATTATTACTATTATATCTTCAACTCGATTAGCATGTGATGTACCAAAATATTTAATTCTAGAACGTCTGACTTATTGATATTTGATAATATACTAAAAAGTATATATCCTTCATAATTCAATACACCATTCATCTCAAAAGCAATAATAATAATTTAAAAATAAAATAAATAAATAAAGGCAGGTGGATGTGGAGTTAGTAGTACTTGATACAGTTGCAAGTTGTATCACTGTAAGAAACACGCCGATGCTCTCAACAATTCATCTTGTCTGAAATCCACTTGTAGGTTTAATTACTTGAATAATTTTTGTTGGAGTACTTCTGCTTAATTTCTGTTGTTCGTGGATATTTAATAATAATTATTATATATTAAAAAAATGACAGATTATTTGTTGACCATCTCCGGCCAATCAAGAACAGAGTTGACAATGTCCATTTTAAATGAAAAAAAATATTGAATATGAACTTAAAAAAGGGTTGTTGCTAATAACGTTGACATTTGACAATGTCTATCTCAATTTAAAAAAAAAAACTGAACAAAGAAATATTAAAAAACAAGGAAATAGATGACAGAACAAAATTGAAAAGAAAAAAAAAACGAACGAAAGAATTCGACCGGCTGGTCTGTATATTTAAAATTCATCGGAAGATACAAAATTCCCAGGAAGGGCATGCAAGAAGAACTTGATTGAGCGGGGTTTATCGGTATTTACAATCCTCGACAACTGGTAATAATATCACACACAGTTTGCTATCATACGCCATGACTCTTTAAAAACTTAATCTAGTTTTTTTTCATTCTACAAGTATAATAATAGTAATAATAATAAATAAATAAAAACTTTGTGTGTATTTTCGCCTATATTTCGATTGATCTCTTCCTAAAAAGCTAATAGTTATTACACGGAAGAACGCCATATCCTTCCTTCGAAAGAAATAATGATAATCGAGACATCGTCATGGTACCTCCTTCGGTCCCCTTGTGGGATGTCTAGCAGTTCATGAAAATCCATACCTACACAATTATTCACATTGCTATTATTAGATTTAAATTAAATTGATCAATTCTATGTTTTATTAATTAGTATATATGTATATATTTTCTGCGTACCGGCTTTTTTGGCGGCGCGGAAAAGAACTTCTTCGACGAGATGCTGAGCTGGATCTCCTTCGGGGAAAGTCGAGATGAATACTTCAACTTCCGAAACAGCTTCTTGATTTGTGAAGTACTGATACAGCCCATCTGAAGACAGTATCAAGAATTTGTCGTTTGGGTCTAATTTGTGGTGGCAAAGTGATGGCGAACACGTAATATACGGCGAGTTTCCGACGTAATCGATTCTGAACACCTCCAAAAGCGCATTGTTCCATTTCGGCTGCAAGAGAAAAAAAAATTTACATATTAAAAAAAAACGCCATTCATCAATTCAGAAAGAAAAAACAAATCCCCGTATTCGTTATAAATCACAATTAAAACATTCGTATACGAAAAACTCTCAATTACCTGTTTGAGATAACCGGCACCGAAAGCCCTCGTCACTTTCAACGAACCCTTAACCCTATCGTTGATCACCGCAGCAGCATCGTCTAAATGCGCATTTTTAATCCTTCTTACTTCCTATAAATAAATAAATAAAAGAATATTATTACAACAACATAAACATTAAAACAGAGGAAAACAGAGGAAGCTACAATACAATGGGTGAATGGGATATCGAAAACCTTAAAAAACAATATTTTTTATTACCTCTTTAACAGATGTACTATGATCCATAGTGAGCTGGCAAGAACTCAAATGATGAACGTTTTCGTATTCATAACCGTACAGCAATTCTTCGTCATCGTTCTTCATCTTCCCAAACTGCGAATCGTTATCCGATTTATTATGAGCCAAAACTGCGCGACTATCACCGACGTTCATTAAATAAACATCATCCCCCTTCATCACCATACCCAATACACAAGATCCCATCAATGCGAGCTCGGGATTCTCCATTAACATCATATCAGCGATCTCCAAATACGAAGCTTCCGTTTTTCTCAACGCTTCGGATAACGCTTTCAATACTCCCAAGTGATTGACCGTCGCAGTCGTAGTATTGTTATTACAATCCATGTTGCTCAATTTCTCCCTCAATTTCCTGTCCAATTCGACCCTTTCTTTACAATCCAAACTCTTGGACATAAACGACGAGCTGTTAACCGTGTTCTCGCAAGATTCGCTCTTTTCGCACCACAACAACCCTTTGAGCTCTTTGTAGACATTCGAGTAAAGATTGTTCAAGAGAAAATCGGTTGCATCGGGACCGTTGAATCCGTCGTAAATCCCGACGAAAACCCATCCGTGTTCTTCGGATATCACTACGTGGACTCGATCTTCGCCTGCTTTCCCCTGTGCCCACTGCACGTTTTGACTACCGAAAGATTCGTTGCCTACGTCGTCGTTCTCGTCGATTAAGCTCATATCACTGCTCAAAGTGTTGCTGGTAATTGTGCTGCTATTGCCACTGTTGCTCACACTAGCCAAAACGACGTTGTTTTGCTGCTCGTTCTCGATACTCCTCGACTCTTTCGAAAAACCCCAGAAAGATTTCGACATCACCCTTTTCAAATTCTTGATTAGAGCGCGTTTCTTGGATTTAGGCCTGTACCTCTGCAAATGATCGAACTGGTTCTCCAACGGGCCCGAAATGAAGCTACGTTCGATCGGGCCGGATAGGAACCCGCGCTCTATCGGGCCGGATCCTGGAACCGAACTTCTGAGGATCGGGCCGGATTTCACTGTGGAGAAAGAGTTTCTTGGGATTGGTTGGAGTGGGATTGAGGAGAAAAAATTCGAGCTTTCGAAAGCGGAAGCCTTATCGAGTGGGGCGGAGGTGTTGTACGGAAAGGGGTTTGTTGAGAGAGGGGTGAAGTTGTTGGCGGAGATGGAGGCGCCGGAGATGGTCCGGAACGGGGCCGGATTCTGTGGGGCGGCGACGGCGGCGGAGGAATCGTCGAGGGATTGGGTTTTGTGGAGTGGGTCTTGCGGTATGTAGCAGAAGGAGTGGCCCAATCCCTCGTCTAGAGGGTCAGATGAGCACACTGCGACGTCGTTTCTTCGCCTGGAAATCTCTCCGGCGTCTCCGGCGAAGCATATACTCAGCTTTCCGATTCCGTTTCCCATTTTTTCTCCCCAGAAATCCAAAGCAAAGACTCAATTTTTTTTCCCTTTTCTCTTTTTTGTTTGCTCCAGGGGAGATGGAGAGAGAGAGAGAGAGGTTGAAAATTGGTTGGGATTGAAATTTATGATTTGATATTGGAGATGGAGAAGAGAGAAGAGGACAGATGAGGAGAAGATAAATGCAGAGAGAGAAAGAGAGAGAGAGAGAGAGAGAGAGTTGACTTTTGAAGGGGGGTGGGAAGGTTGAGATTAAATTTTAGTTTTTGTTTAGCATTCGATGCTCTATTGGTATTTGGTGGGCTGAGGGCGTTGACTAATAACAAATATCAAATAGTTAAATCGAGTGTGTATGTAATGTATGTATGTATATGTGTATGTATATGTTCCTTCATTTTCCCTTTTTCTTATGCGTGTGGGGTTTGAAGAGAATGGAGTTGCAATATATTACTATAGGAATATGTGGAATATATTTATATTATATAATATAAATAGTTGATATTTTTTTTAGGGAGAGATTTAATAAAAAGAAATGAAGTTAATTGGAAAATGAAAAGTCAAAAGGCTCCACTTGTGAATTTGTGTTATTGCAAATTGCAATCGTCACCCCCTCCTATGGTGGAATGGTGATTCGGATGCCATCATGACTAAAATGCCCCTTTTATTTTGAATTTATATATAATAAACATTATAGTTTCATTGATTTGACTCTATTGCATACCATCATTCACATCATATATTGATATAGTATTACATAAAAGTTATGTGCACTACTATTGAGATTTGACCTATTTATGGGTGCTATTTGTAATATTCTCAAAATATATTTATATTTATTACAAAGTAACTATTTTTTTCTTAATAACAAACCAAAATATAATTTGCAATAATAGTATTTATAAAAACCATATTATAAAGAAAAACGGAAGAACCTCATGGTGCGATAAGGTAATAGTTGACATTGCTTTTTCTATTATTATAGAATTCATCAATTTTATTATGAATATGTACGATTAAAGTTTACGATTATACTAGCGCATGTAGTATAGAATATTTCTTTTTTTATATTAAAAATAGGCTAATAATCATACACCACCATATATTATATAATCACATTGATTATGACTTGAGATGGTTTTGTTGTTTACTCTCCAATTTATATATACATAATATATAATTGACAATATAAAGTTTGGCTATTAGAGGATTGGAAGTGGAAGGGTTTACATAAACAAACATCCATAATTAATTATACATTTTTATTTAAAACTTTTGAACTCAATATATCCTTTTTCTATGATTAGTGACACTATGTGCTAACCACTTTGTTTTGATGTGAGTAAGAAATAGCATAAAGTAAGAGCACAATCTTCTTTATTTTAATTGTTGTGTTTCTAGTCTTTCTTTTCACCTCAACTACATATAGATTAGCCACAAGAAAAACTATTAATAATCCACTAATTTAATAATTGTCTTTTTTTTTTTTTTTTTTATAAATTAGCCTTATATTACAGATAAATTATGGCCACCTCTTAAGTTAAGGTGAAATTACGAAAAAAAACCCTTATATTTAAGTACTTACAATCATCATTCTCAATTATATAGTGTCATACACGTTTACCCTTACAATATTAAATTTTATCAACTGAATGAGGAATTTTTTCATAAGAAAATATATAATTGAAGGGTAGTTGTAATTACCAAAACAATAGGAGTTTTTGCAATTTGACCTAACCTCAGGGGGCTGCCCTGTAAAATTGCAATAAGAAATCGAGGCTCATCCCATTCCCTTTATTGGTTGAAAAGTGTACAATTTTATTTAATTTTATTAGGGGGAGATATAGATGCTATAAATTCTGACTTATCCCATATTAAATGTGTAAAATCGTAATAGATTCTTCTATTTATGCATATAGGGATAAAAAAGATATAAAAAATGCCATAGATTAAATAAAATTTACAAACTTTTTTTTCTTCTTTTATATTAAAAAAAAAAAAAAAAAAAACAAAAACAACTTGCGTTGCGTCTATGTTTTGGCAGCTGTATACCTGTTAAAAGGCCACACGGCTAGAATACATGAGAAGAGTCTACATACGACTTATAAAATAGGAAAACGTTAACCAAACAAATAAAATGGAAATTGCATGAATCGTGCGCGTGATTTGACTTTTAACAATTTTTGATTTAGTTAGTAGTAATTCAAATGTTGAATGAGGACATTTGACTTTCGGTTACATTTCTAAATGTAATATGTTAGATAGTCAACTTAGATGTGATCTATGATTAATGCCCCCATTTTGACCAACCCTTTTATTTTTTATTTTTTTTTATCTGGGCTATTGAAGTAACTATCCTAGAAGCCCGTTTCTCCAACTCGGCCCGGTTGAGAAATCAGTTTGTTCTTTTATGGCCCATTAGCTATTTATTATTTATAAGCCCATTAAAGAAACAATGTTTGGTACGGTTGGCCGTTAACCAGGCGCCAAAATAGAAAAAACACATAACTGCTAACCAAAAATAACGGTGACTGAAAATTCTTAACAAAAATCTCTCTCTCTCTCTCTCTAAAAAATTGAATGCGTAGGTAGGTAGCCATGGCCGCAGAGCATAACATGGATATCCAACCAACAGGTCTTGCGTACACACAAACGTGTGTATGTATATTCTTTTTCCTTGTGTATTAAATTTCAGATTTCGATCCTATTTCACGTTTGTTGCTTCCTCTAAACATGTATTCTTCTTGAATTAGGGTTTGTTTATTGATAATTAATTGGTTTATGAAAGCATAATAAATACAAAATGTCTCAAAAATTGGGGAAGAATTTGAACCACCAAGAATCAGAGATATCTCTGAAGAATCATAGTCCAGGTTGTATGTGGGGTATACTTCATCATTTTCATCATAATAAGTGGCACAATGTCAAGAAACGACTCCCTCGTAAACCCCATATTTCTCCCGCCAAACATCCTCGTAGTACTACCGGTAATCATTTTGCAATTTTCCCCTGTTTCCTCTCTGTTTGTGTGTGTGTGTGTGTAAATCCATTTGAATTTGAAATTATTTGCAGATCAAGAAAGTAGCCCCACCACCACAAGCACTGCCTCAGAGGCTGCTGCTCATCATGAATTGGAAGAAAACATTAATAATGATTCTTCGGTCGAAAATTCCGCCGTATGTTTTCGGTTATCTCTCGATTTATTCATCTTAGCAATAATTAAATCTTTTGAATTAAATCAAATGTCTACCAGGTGGTTGGAACAAAATCGGTCGATCCTCCTCGTACAACACCGAAAAGCTCGATGAAATCTCGAATCAGAGCTTTGATCACCGAAGAAATGTCTCGAAGAAGGGGCCGACATCGCAGAAGTTCGTCTTACCCGATTAGATCAAATCATCTAGAATCTTCCCATCCTCGTAATAATAACATTACTAATAATACCAATACTAATACTAATAATAAAAATAATAATAATAATCCGGCCGAGGATTTATACGAGAGTGTGCATTCAACCGCATCATTAGCACAAGAAGGTGGAAACAGTAACAGATCATGTGAATACTGTGACACAATGCTTAATGTTAAATACTTGAAGCAAAATGAGGTCAACAATAAAGCGGTTAGACAGCCGATTAAAGACCAAACCCCCGTTCCCGACAAGTTAATCTACGCGGTCGAGCCGAGAAGCAAACACGACTCGTTACAAGAATCGAAGCTTTTTATGGACGCCCTAGATTTGCTCAACATGCGAAAAGAGGTTTTCTTGAAAATATTACAAGACCCCACTTCTTCATTAGCCCATCAGCTGCATTTCAGACGGACAAACAATTCGAAGATCGGATTAACCAAGTCCGTCTCTTTTCCAGTTTCCGGTTCCTCTTCGACCAGAAAAGATATTACGAAATCCGAAAACACAAAAGAGGAAGACGATGAACTGCAGAGCTGCATTGAAATGACCGAAGAGTCGAAGAAGCATTACGAATCGTTGAGATTGACCAAGAATAGTAATCCAGAGCAGTTCTTGAGAGAGATGGAACTTTCCGAAAACCCTTCTTCTCCCACTTCGGACAAGAACACTCTGAAGAAAAGGCACGATAATAAGGTTGTCCTAAAACGATTCAAGAATCTCCGAGAGAAGCTGAAACACGTTATTCGAGATCGGAAAAAGGAGAAGAATCGTATTATAATGGATGCGGTTCATCATAAAATTCCTTACGGTAGTTACGAAGACGGTAGCTGTGGCAGCAACCAATTAGGTTCTTCCGATTATTGCAAAAGAACGTCTTCATTTAAAAGAACATCCTCGTTTAACGAGTCGTTAGACAGGTACAATAAGTTAATCGAGATTAGTTTGAACAATAAAGAAACATTGAAAGACCAAGTTTCGGATAGATTAAGGTTTAGAACAGCGGATAATAGTAACCTCTCGCCTATCCCGACCCGACCCGCCAGCCTGGCGAGGATTCTTTCGCTACCGGATCTTAGATTTTACTCTTCACTTCAGATTGATGATTCTAGTTGCTATCATACGCCGGATGTGTCTGTTCACGCAGAAAATTCGAGTATGGGGAATTATATCAGCCTCATTAGTGAACAAAAGTCAAGTCAACAAAACTTGTTAGACGAGACTTTCGACGATTCCGATTCGAAGACGTGGGAGAGTGCTTCGTCACATGATCTCAATATCGAACCTCTGCCCGTTTCTTCCGATCTTCAGACGTTAAAATCGGATCATGTTTCTGAAAATGATACGTTTAGTTATAACGAGGAGGATGAAATAATCTGCCAAGAGCTCGATTTGTACGAGTCACGAGGTATATTCTTGATTTTTATTCTTTACATGCAAACAATTTTTTTTAATTTAAAAAAAAATTATTATGACAGATGGAAAACATGACATTTTTCATGTGGATACTTGGAATAAAGCCGACTTCAACTACGTAAAGGACATTTTAGAACTTTCCGGATTCAGCAGGGACGAGATTCTAGGGAAATGGTACTCCGCGGAGCACCCCGTGGACCCTATGGTGTACGACGAAGTGGAAGGTTACGAAGAAGGCGGTGGAATGAACTTCGATCATCTTCTACTTTTCGATTTAATCAACGAGGTGTTGTTGGATATTTACGAGAGGTCATTTTGCTATTGGCCGAGGCCGTTGACTAGTAGGTCCCGCATGCACCGGATGCCCAAGGGGTACCGTGTGCTGGAGGAGGTTTGGGGGGAGATACGGCGGCTGATGAGTTTGAGGGCTGAGATCGATCAGGCGATAGACGATGCGGTGAGTCGGGATTTAATGGATGGGCGCGACGGTTGGATGAATCTGCAGTTGGATGGTGAGTGTGTGGGGCTTGAGTTGGAGGATTTGATATTTGATGATCTTATTGAAGAGGTTATTTGGAGTTGAGTACTTAATTATAACTTAATTAATTGGTAGTAATTACTACTAGGACAATTGTTGTTAGTTGCAGCATGATATATATACTAGGAAAGTAGTGTGTTGGATTTTTGACAGTTTCTGATAAATTTGATGTATGTAGTGTACAGATTGAAGTATGTAATTAATCACAATTAGCCACTTGGGTTAATTAGAGTGTGTAGTTGAAGTGGAGAGGCAAAAGCCTTGCAAGAATGAGTTGCAGACTTGCAGGTGTAGTATTTGCCTTTTAGTATGTACATCTATTATTTTGCCTATATATTTACATATTTCATAGTGTCCGTTATTAAATATAAGAACAGAGATGTAGTCAGTAAGCCCGTCTAGCTCAGTTGGTAGAGCGCAAGGCTCTTAACCTTGTGGTCATGGGTTCGAGCCCCATGGTGGGCGTTTATATGAATTTTTTTATTTTTTCTTTTTCCAACAAATTTATTTTTTTATTTTTTTTAAAGATGTGCCCAAGCCCAAAAAAAACTCAATTATTGGGCCCATGAAAAGAGATTCTCCATCCACATCAAACGGAGGAACTTAATTCATACCCCACCTCAAACTCAGTGAGCTCTGAATAAAGTATTTCTTCATTTCTATTTCCCACTTTTTTATGTGCCTTTAATCTCGATCGGTCATTTCAAATAATTTAAAGCTCCGAAAAAGGAATGGATAACTTTCTAAATTTTAATTTAAAAGAAACTCTAGAATAATTCCGTACATTATAATTCAGTTTGATTAACAATAGAAATTGAATGTAAATATATTGATTAAAATTCAAATAATACACTTTTGATTTTCCGATGATGATAATGATTGATTAAACATTTAAGAAAGTATGCCAGATTATTATTAATTTTCTTCTTTTCTCTTTTCAACGGATACAGTGAACGGATCACGACGGAATACGTCGATTGGAGTTATAGCTTGGTACAGGCATGGGCCGACTTACGAGGTGCTCCACTAGATCATGCCACGTGTACGGTGTATATCCACCTCACTCTCCCTTCATTCCGCTATAAATGTAGGCCATGGCTGCATCCTTTGTAATCGTTCATCTCTTAAATCATTCTCCGACTCTCTGTAATCAAATATTTCCCCCAATTAATTCTAAATCTTCTTCCTTAAGAAAATGTCTTGCTGTGGCGGTAACTGTGGATGCGGATCTAGCTGCGGTTGCGGCAATGGCTGCTCCGGGTAATTAATTAATTCATCCCAATCATTTATTTATTTTTCGCAAAAAAAAAAATATTATTTATTTTGACATGAATTGGTGTGTGAAGGTGCAAGATGTACCCTGATTTGAGCTACACGGAGGCGACCGCCCCCACTGTGACCGCCGTCCTCGGCGTTGCCCCTCAGACGTACGAATCAATTTTATTTTCAATTGATTAATTTTTAAAATTGGAATTGGATTTTATGAATTTGATTTAAATGATGTGCAGACATTTTGGGGTAGCGGAGTCTGTTGAGGGCGGATCGGAGAATGGATGCAAGTGCGGTGACAACTGCACCTGCAATCCATGCAATTGCAAGTGAGTAGGGCATGGTTTTGAAGCTAAGCAGAGATGAAGAAGGAGAAGGGTGATTAATTAGTGTTTACTATTAATGTTATTTAGTAATAACTTTGTGCGTGTCGTAATTAAGGGGCCTAATTTTATGTGACGTCATCATCATCGCGATGACGATGGTTCTAATTTAATTTGTGCCCCCCTCTCGTTGTAATAAAAGTTCTGTGTCTGGTGGGTTACCATCTCTGCTGGTGGTTGGAGTCTGTTGTATTATTAATTCAAGTTAATGGAAGCTCCCCTTCTTCTTTGATTCGGATGTTTTTAAGTATTTATCTCATTATTCTATATTTTTGTTTTGTTTCCAATCATCATATTTCAACTATGCTGCACGGACACGTCGATATGCGGATATGAACACGGTGATACGGTATTTTCAAAAAACTAGGATACGGATACGTGTAAATATAAAAAATATAGGGGTATATTTATAAATTATAAAAATATAAGGGTACATATATAAATTGCAAAAAATTATTTTTAAGTCGACAAATTACATAGGAGAACCGCTGGCCCTTATTGTTCGTGTTCGTGGTTCGCCGTCGCCGCTAGAGTTTTGGGCTTTTGGGTGGATTTCCAAAGAAGACATGTATTATATAGAAAACAAAATGCTTTTTTTTTTTTTTTTTTTTTTATTATTAGGTGTCTCACTTAAGAATCGTGTCATAATAATTTTACAATTGTGGATACTGCCTGGTACGGTTGTTCTATTTTTAGCGAAATTATAACACGGCCGGCCCGACACATAAAATTACAAATCGACATACGATAGTTACAAATAAAATTATCCATAAAATTCAATTAATAATTAATTTAATAGGGTTGGAGTTGCTCTAACTGGGCCGCTCTAAGACGAAGGTGGGCCATGATTACTTGGGCCTCTGAAAATTATTCCTGAAAGTCTCTATGTATTCAAAAAGGAGAAAAGCCCAATTTTTTATTTTATTGGTCGAATTTTCGATATCAACTATCGGCTATAGTTAAATTGGTTTTGTAGATGCTACGCCCGGTAAAATACATTGAGTGATTTTGTACCGTTAATCTACATATAAAGACGCACATACTCATATATATATATATATATGTGTGTTTAATATATAGTTATTTTTATATATTTCATCATGTAACGTCTCATAAGCCAATTAAATTTACTTTGAGAACAATTTCAGAAAATTAACTAATTAAATTGTCTGACTCAAGTTGTAAATTAGTTAACCCAGCTGAGCAAACATTAATTAGATACAGAGAGTGTGGTTAATTGAAATGAAAATTTAAACATAGGTTAATCTAATACTGCAATCTAGTGAATGAATTTTATCTAATTTAAACATAGGTTACACATAAATATTTTTCCTTTCTTTACAGCCAAATAAATCACTCCACTCTTTAAAACCTAAAGCAAATTCCTGGGCATGACACGTGGCACTAAAAATATAGTATTAATTAACTCCAATATTTTCGGTATTTAATATCAATCCATTCTTATTTTGTTTACTTCCATATCACTAATCGGTTAGATCTTTCACCCAATAATCGCAGCCGTCGAAACATTAACAAAACAAATCTAACGGCTCGCTTGTATCCCAGAGATAATGGTGATCTAACGTCATCAATTGGGATTTACTTAAACACCCTTCTGAAATTTGATTCGGTTATGACGTATCATTTACGCCACACGAAGATTAAATCTCGACCGTCCATTAATATCTTAACGGTCGTTATTGACCCGGGAAAGATCAGCCTCAGTGAAAACGTTCGGCTTTCAACTTTGTGGCGAAACAGAGAAATGTGCCGTTTGAGGTTCAAACTTTTGTTCCCTAACGGTCATATCACGCCGTTAATACAATCCTTCTTTTCCCCATCCTCTAGTTGACGGCTTTTAAACGTCGCCGTTAGTAACCCTTCGTAAGTATTCGTTACATACAAAATATACATAAATATTTACTCCTTTTCTCTCTCTACATTCAACGGGCAAGGTTTTTCGTAACTCTGAATTCTCTCATCTCCTAATTCAGATTTTTTTTGCCCAAGTTTTCTTAGGGCTCAATAATCGGATGAGCTTGTTCTCCAATTAATAAGGGTTAGTCGATGTAATATTTGTTTCAGGATTCTTGAATTTCGATATTGTGAATTTATGTACGTCGTCTTTACTTGCTGTTTGATCAATTTTAACTGTGTTTAATCGGTTTAACGCGCTCTGATTAAGCGATATTTATAAAAGATTTTATTTTTTTCTTATCAGTTTTGTTCGGGAATTGTTGTGATTTGGGCTTTTTTTATTGATTATTATTTGGCTTTCGAGATCTGCACTTCGCTTAGCTTGCGTGAACGCTGCAGATTTTTCTTTTATAACTAGATTTAGAATTTTCCTTTACGAACATAGTGTAGAATTTTGTCTTGATTTATTGGATTGGTTAATTTTTATTTTAGGAAGTTTGGGAATTTGGAGGTCTGATGAACTATAGGAATTAATGGCAGAGGCAAAATCTGATGTTATTTGCCTCGAGAAAAAGGAGTCTGCAGCTGCTTCAAGCTCGTCTTTTTCGGAGAACAGTAGCAGCATCGTGTTAAAATCACCCGGGATAAGTAGTCCTACTAGTACTTCTCCAGCTCATAGGTATTTTTTTTATCACTTATTCTATTTTATTAACATATACGCGTATCTACGAACATCCATATTTTGACACAAATATATAATCTATGTTCTGTTTCCTTCCTATTGTATTTTAATTTTTTGTTCCGGGTTAGTACTTTGTGACTCTTCTTTTGAATGCTTACTCTTGTATGGCTATGTTTCTTTCACCTTATGTTTCTGTTGTTGTTTGTCATGGTTATTTGGTGGTTTGTTATTGTATAAACATCTAGTTTTCTACCTAGGGTTTGGATGAGATTCTTATTCGACTGATCATAACTTCATGTCGGTATATCAAAAAACATGTAAATTACATATACCTGGGACTGGTTAGGTTGGGTGTTCTGCATCGAATGGAAGTGTTAGCATATGAGTCTTGTTAATCGTCCCATGGAGTATTTATTACAGAGTAGCAATTGGATAACAGAAGTTTTAAAAAGTTTCTTTTAGCTAGTATCATTGTTATGTGCCTTCAGAAAATTTCTTGTCAAGAAAATGGAAAATAATATAAGAGGCTATCATAAATTAGGATGGCACCTATTCGTTTATATAGATCATTGAGTAGTTCTGAAGAAAGCCCTTTCATGTGTTTGTAGGAGAGAATTTTCAGGCTAATAAACTATGTACTTCTATAATGAAGCGACGAACTGGGCGTATAGTTGAACAACCTGTTTGGAATCTTTGGAATTTCTAGAAAAAGATTAAGGCTCTAGGTTGATTATCTAATTCAGTGCCACTTTTTTGGTTTTACAGAAGAACTACGGGCCCGATTAGAAGAGCAAAAGGAGGTTGGACTCCAGAGGAGGTAAGAATTTTCTAAAGGAATGTATGTTTGTGTGCTGGAGCCAAGGACTTCTGTCTTGGCCTTACTTTTGCATGATAAAAACTAGTGCTTTGTGTGTGTTGAGTAAAAGAAGATGCATAAGCTAATCATTCAATCCTTTTGTTTCTATCTGCTTATTTAGCTGCCACAAAAAAAACTTACTTGCATGTCAAATCATTTTGTTTCAGGATGATACATTAAAAAAGGCTGTTGCGGCTTTTAGAGGGAAGTCCTGGAAGAAAATAGGTATGATACAGTTTGCACGTTTTTCTATTTGATTTGCAACTTGAATTGGATTTCGAAATTTGCGGTCTTTAGGTTGAAAGTTTGATGTTGCTGTTGGAGGTAAATCAGTTGTGGTGTTCCAGTAATGATTCTTTGAATAATCATGGTGAAAAAGAAATCGTTGAATAAATTTGATTTAAGTTATAAAATAAGAGGAAACATTTCAATTTTAAGATACAATTGCAATATCATTAACACTTTTGTAATATAATGCTGTTATGTTTAATTATCACTTTATGTTGATATTTTTCGAACACTTCCTGCTACCATTCTCAAACCATGCATGTTACACTAACTTGCAGCGGAGTTCTTTCCGGATAGATCAGAAGTGCAGTGCCTGCATCGATGGCAAAAGGTTCTGAATCCAGAACTTGTTAAAGGTCCCTGGACACCAGAGGTTGGCCCTTATATTTCTTTATATTGAAATTTCTATTTTGTGTAAATTGTTATTAAGCACAAATCTTGATTTGTCTTGTACTGCTAAATTTTACTTGCAGGAGGATGACAAAATCACAGAACTGGTTGCTAGATACGGACCTACAAAATGGTCTGTCATAGCAAAGTCGTTACCAGGTCGAATTGGGAAGCAGTGCCGTGAGAGGTAACATTACATGTGATACCTAACAATTAATATCGTAGTAATAAGTTGTGTGAGCAAATTTGTGACAGATTGATTCTTTGTTTTACCATAATTTCCTGTTTGTGGAAAATCATGCATACACATCTTATGACCCCACACACAGAAGCACAATGTTTAGCTAGAAAACACTTTTGCCAGAACTTATATGCAGTTTTAGATGATTCCGGCTCCTTCACAGAAGCACCATGTTGAGCTAAATTTTTTTTTGGAACTTGTACAATTTGATATTAGATGGTCCAGTACTCTGTGTGCTTCCATCCAATGCCTATCATTTTTGTGTAGATATTAGTGGTAGTCCATCCAAGATTATGACTTCATAGCTGTATTTCATGCATGGTAAAATAATTTCTCCATTGAACATATGCTTGCATAGCTTTAGAATTCAGTTTTGGTTATATATTTATAGGTTGATGAGTAAAAGCTTGAACATTTTTCTTTGAAAAATTTCAGGTGGCACAATCATTTGAATCCACATATTAAGAAGGATGCTTGGACTTTGGAGGAGGAGCTTACTTTACTCAATGCTCATCGTGTTCATGGGAATAAATGGGCTGAATTAGCTAGGCTTCTACCTGGAAGGTATCGTTCTTCTGCCTATATTTATTTACTAAGAAAAGGGATTATTTATCTAGATGGATAACTTAATCCTTGATTTTGGAAAAATGCATTCTGGCTTTTCAGCTTGTAACTTTTACTGTCAAAATCCTTGAAGTATTTTTCATTTTTGTTTTTGGTTGATTTCTCAATACATAAGGAGGATATCAGTGTAGAAATTACTTTATGAGAACAAAATAAGAAGGAAGGTTCAGTTTTGGGTAGAGGTATAGGTCTAATACGAATTTTGATCTAATCTGATGTGAACGCTGGCTGAATTATGTTTTCTTATGCCAAGGTGGAGATTGCTCATATAAGTTGCTCAATGTACTCGATTTCTGATTTCTTGCATCCATTAATGGTTTTTGGATTGGCTACTAGTTATTATAATACATTGAACCAGACAGTAAGGTTTGTAGTAAATGTTTTCCGTCTTGTGCTGTGTTGATTCATTGAATGTGATCGATCAACTAAAGAGTTTTGCCTCCTCACGATGTATATAAAAGCTCATAAAAAATAATGCAAGTCATCATACAGAGAAAATTTTACATGGCAATAAAATATACTATAATACTGTAAGAAGCAAGTCATTATAATATTTTGAACTAGGTTTATTGCATTAATGTTTTTTTATTGATTGAGTATACGCAGCATTATTCTACTGAATAACAGTAATGTAACTGGTTTGAATCGATGCAGGACTGATAACGCAATCAAGAATCATTGGAATAGCTCTTTGAAGAAAAAGTTAGATTTCTATTTAGCTACAGGAAACCTTCCTCCAGCTGCTAAAAATGTTCCGCAAAATGGTGCTAGGGACAGTAATAGTAGTGCAGCTTCAATTGGAGTATTTCTTATTGGTTCAAATAGAGGATCAAATTCGACCGTGTTAACTTCGTGTGGAACTACTGATTCATGTAAAGTTGAGCATGCGAATGACAAGCCAGATACAAGGATCCAAGATGAAGATCAAGATCATGATATTGACACCTGTGTACGGAGTGAATACACCAGTTCCGATTGCAACAAGTGTGAGGAAATGCCATCAGAAGCAGGCACTATCCATTCAAACATAATGGAGTCTTCTAAGCTTGACGACAGGCATGGAATATACGATGCAATTGATCAATATCGTATAATTGGAGCATCATGGCATTACGAAAATCCAGTATATGGGACACTGTGTTATGAGCCACCAGTGTTGGGCAACTACGATCTGCTGGATTCAAATCTTGCAAATATTTCGTTGAAGCAGTCTGAATCAGACAGTAGTCCTACGACATCAGCTACACCTTTCTTTACTCCACCAAGTGTGAAAAGTAGATGCTTGCCTGCACAAACTCCTGAATCAATACTTAAGATTGCTGCAAGAAGCTTTCCAAATACTCCATCCATACTGAGAAAGAGGAATTCTGATAGGACGCCAAAGGAGGCTTTTCTGCCTAATGGTGAGCATAATCAGAAGAATAGTTCTGAGAGTACTGAGTTACAGAACAATAGTCTACGTGCAGATACTGCTTCAGATGATGATGATGATGGTTTAAGCGGAAACAAGTCATTTAACTCATCTCCTCCATATCGATTACGATTCAAAAGAACTTCAGTTCTTAAATCTGTCGAGAAGCAGCTTGATTTCGACATTAGCATGGACAATAATACTAAATCTGGGGGCGCAGATGTCAAGGAAATCCCTCCTGTAACAAAGTTTGTTTATACACGTCATAGGCGGAGGTAACTTCTTTAGCAAGATTGTAATATTTGCACTTTTAAATATGCTAGTATGTATAGAACATGCATGCAGGGTAGCTATTTTCTTGTTTACACAAATGTTTTACTCTAGATTTGAACCTGGTTTCATGATATTGTTGTGGAAAATACTTTTGAATTTCTTAGTCAAAATTTTTTAGTCAAATTTTCTAGTTTCTCTTGATCTTGATTCTGCTGCATCTCGGTTTTATAATTATCACACTAAGACGATTCTATATTTCTGAACTCCTACTAGTTTTTACGAATATGTACATTGCACACTACTTTCCCTTTTACGGTCGTGATCTTGAATTCTACTTATTCACTTCACATTTGTTGGTTTGCTTTTGTTTGATAAGTTGATGAAAGTCGATAGGGAGTCGCAAAGATGACGACCGGTTGGTATATACATTCATGGAGACGTATGTTGCAGGCAGAAGAAGGTTCTGTTGTTACTGGAATGCCCAACAACCGTTGAATGTTTCATTTCTTTAAAGATTGTTTTTCTTTTCCATATCTATCATTCAAACTTTATTGATTTGTACAGTTAAAATAGAGTAGGACTTTATATTTGCAAGTAGGCCCCTTGGTATAGAATAAAACCTCTTTCAGTACCCTCATGCTTTTAGGGGATTGGCAAAATTGTTTGGCCTAGTATCATTTGTTTTTATATTTATGTGTTCACTAATTTTTGAATAGTCAAACAAAATCATAAATAGATGTATACTATAGCACACGATTTTTTACAAGAATAGTTGAAACATCAAATATTTTTTTAATATTATTTAACAATTTAATATTTTTTAACATTGAACATGTTAAAAATAACATTGAATATTAGTTAAAAATGTTTATTATTAGTCAAGAAATAATTTATCTTAAAATTCAATTAATTTTTGAACAGTTGAGTAAAATTACAAAAAAAAAATCATATACTAAATGGCACACATTTCTTGCTTATTTCTTAATTAATTATGACTTAACATCTTCATTGCTATATTTTTATTTGTGTGAAAAACTATTAATAAAAAGATATGACAATTTTAGCTATATTTTTATTGCGATTTATTTGTGCGTTAAAACTCTTTGAAAAAAAAAAAACTCAACTATTTTTAACAAAAAACGTGAGCTATATAGTATGCAAACTTTTTATAATTTTTAACAAAAACATGAGCTATTTTTTATGAATTAATATCTTTATCTCTATATTTTTGTGCGTTAACTGTGAGCTTTAGATGATTTTTTGTTGATTTTGCTTTTTTTTTTTTGGCAAAACTGTGAGCTATAGTATACAATTTTTTGAGATTTTGCTTTTAAAAATTTAGTTGAAACCAAATTTAAATGAACTATTTTTGGCTATTTATGAATTTAAATCTTCATTTATATATATTTGAGTGTCAAACTTTTCAAAGCAAATATAACCATTTCTACTATTTTCGCCAAAAACGTGATCTATAGCATACGATTTTTAGTGATTTTGCTACCAAATTTAGATGAACTATTTGTTGAATTTGGTGTGAAAAATTATTTAAAAACTATTTGTAGAATTTGTCTAATTTTTGAACTGTCAACAAAATCACTAAAAATCGTATACATTTTTTGCTAAAATTAGCTGAAACATTCAAATATTTTTTTAAAGCCCACATGCTGATGCTGCCAGACTATAAAATTATCCGCAGCAAAAAAAAAGTAACTGATTACGTAACTCTTTGAAAAGCACCAAATTATTTCCTAGACGAGTGATTTACTGTTCAACCGACGGACTTGCACACAGCCATTACATAATATAGAGCGATTTACACTAACAGTACAAACCATTATAGAGTAGCGAGCAACGTTATACACAAAATAGGTACTTAACGCACACAAATGGAACTGATCGGAGGAAAATAGATACTCGCAGATGGCCACTGCCACCAAGAAGCTTCCAGCTGAAGAAAAATCAAATACATAAAATAAAGTACAGAATAATCGGAAAGCAGATTAGCGGTGGCCATCTAGGAGTAATATCATTACAGGCTCAAAGTGAACATGTGCAACATTTGAATAGATAAATACTACTCCCTCTGTTCCATAATATCTGTCTCTTTTGAGAATTTTTTTTGTTCCATATTATCTGTCACTTTACAATTCCAATGCTGCATTAATTGCTTATTTTTCAATTTTACCCTTATTAACTCTATAGCACTCTTCATGCATTAATTAATAAACAAGGGTATTTTGGTCCATCAATATCTATTTTCCTAAAATCAAGACATATTTACTGAGATTCTTAAGATTTGTGCCAAGGTGAAAAATGACACCTATTTAGGAACGGAGGGAGTATGTTATTACCCAAGCAAAAAAAAGAGCTAAATATGTCATTATAGACTTAATTCATTTCAGGCAGGTGTTTGTAATTTTTCCAAAGGAGCGCTGAAGAGATTGAAAAAAATATATAAACGCAACAACTCCAACAGCATGCTGACCTTTATAAGTCTGTACATTCAGGAAACCATACACTGCATTGAATCTCTGGTCCACTATTAAAGCTTGAAACTGGAAATATATTATCTTGCTGTAATCTGCAATGTTCAATCAGAAACTAATAAAGATGCTAGCCGAGACTACAGTTCGAAGATGAAAACCGAGAATACAGCAGCTATATCCAAGTTTAAATCCAGACCTCAGGAGAAGAATGTATGGTATTACATATTGACAGTCTAAAACGTGAAAAAAGAAGTAATTGTTGTTTGCCGAAGCACCTTTGAACTCCGGTCAAGACCATGAGAAGCCACCTAAACGGCAGAATCACATATTAGAAGAAGATAAAACAAAAAAAATTAACAAATTTCATCCAGCAAAATAAAAAGGCACGTGAATCATTAGAATAATTGCTTTCCTAGCTTTCTTGCATTCAAATTGTAAGTCGATAATTAGAAAAAAAGACTCTTGAAATAATTATTCCCAGAAAACATAGACTTTTGTATACTTGAAAATAGAAGTGTGTGCATGAAAGCATTGGCATGAGATATTAAAGAGAAGGAAGCAAATATTCCCAGTTTACCATATGAGTTAAAGCAGCATATCGTTCTTCATTCAGGAACAATGGCTTTCCCCTATACATTTCAACATCCTGCAAGATAGAGATTCACAAGTTTAACATGTTGGAAATTTTTTTTTATAGAAAATTTGCTTCACAGCATTTACACAGCACAATAACAGTAACAACAAAAATTAAAGGCGTGAAGGTATACGAGATAAACTGCTCAAACAAGTGCTGTGCAACCCATCAAATTGTTCAACACTTTCTGTGGATTAAACATCATGATATAATTCAATATAATCCCTCAAAAAGATAGTCAATATAATCCACAGTTTTTCGCATGAATTCTTGCCATCAGTGGACACAAAACAAAGAACTTATGATCATATATGGTATAAAGAAGGTAATTAAGCCAAAAATGAAGCCTCCTTGTTGGTGCAGATTAAGTCAACACTCAAGTACATTGTAAAGAAGATGCTAATTCATAAGTAGTCAAGAAACAATTCATCTAACAATTGTTTCACTAACTTTTTAATAGCCAAGCAAAATCACAAATAATCGTATACTATAATATCGCTGACATGTTCAAATCTTTATTCAATATATTTTATCACTCAAATATACAGTATAGAAGATGTTTATCCACCAGTTGTAAAGAAATAGTTTATCTAATGTTTTTTCTCATATTTTAATTGTGAAGCAAAATCAAGAAAATCGCATACTACTACGTATGACACATGCTTTTTACTACAAATAACTGAAATGTTCAAATGTTTTTTTTAGTATTTTTTCGCACTCAATTCATAAGAAGTCAAGAAATAGTTCATCTAAAAATTGTTTCACTTATTTTCGAAAAGTCATGCAAAATCACAAAAAAAATGTATAGTAGCACACGTTTTTGGTTAAAAATCGCTCAAATTATGAAATCTTTTATGATACCTTTTAAGACTCAAATATATAGTATAGTAGATGTTTATTCATAAGAAGTCAAGAAATAGTTCATCTAAAACATGGATCAATAATTTTCCAATGGCCACGCAAAATCACAAAAATATGTATATAAGCACACATGATGTTTATTTATAAGTAGTCAAGATATATTTCATCTAAAATTTGTTTCACTAATTTCTAAATCGTCATGCAAAATCACGATCGTAAACTACAACACACACTTTCTGCTTAAATCGCTGTAACGTTCGAATCTGTTTTAATATTTTTTAAATACTATTTAACACTCAAATATATAGTATAAAGATGTTTATTCATAAGTAAATAAATATTTTAAAATAATCCAAATTTATCATTGTAGCTTACTATATAGTATTAAGGGAAAAAAATCATTCAATCAGAAGAGACATTTACCTCTTCACCAAATGCATCCAAGTATGGAGAAGGCCAAGGTGCCTGACGTGCACATCTTTGGAGCAAGATTGTGGTTCTCTGAAGTAAAACATTGTTATCATCAATATGACTATTCCATAGGACATACAAACACGATTAGATAGGAAGAAATATGTGCCGGACCTATTACACAAACAGTTTAATGGTGGAAGCATAAAAGAGCTGAAAATCCAAAACTTACCCGAATCAATAAGAATACCCCAATGCCAGCACCGCAGGACATTGCATGAGTCTGACAAGCGCTTTCACTAAAAAATAAACGAGCAAGAGTAAAATAAACATAGAAAGAACCAAACAAAGAAAACAAACAAAAGCAGAATGCCTATAAGAAGAAATATTAGAACATAATATAAAGTAGTGGTAACCTGCAGCATGCCTTCCAGTTCGGTGAGCATATTTTACTGCACAACAAGCACAATGCAGGCTCCTCCTTTACAACTCCACAGTCAGGGCAACACTTTTTGATATACCTGAAGTTGGGCAGATCCCCCATGTGATAGATGAATAAAAACAACAAAACAAAAGTAAGATACTACAAGAAGTTACAAGTCAACCTTTGCAATAGCTCCTGGTAAAGATGAGGCAAAACCATCAGTTTAAATGGAACTGCAGGCGTACATCTCAATAAGCTTTGAGATGTATCGGGTTCAAACATTTCAAGAAAACAGCCCACCCATCTCAAAGCTGTCGACCTTGTCTCTACATCATTAACAATGAGGTTAAGGGAAGGGATGTTAAACATCTTCTCCAGCTTTTGAATCTCCGTAAGCTCTTCTGCAGTATTAGCAGAGGACTCGAAATAATCAGATTCGTACGAAGATCCGCCCCATGACCGGACACCATTACCAAACGGCATTATTTTTGAGCAATTTATTAGCTTCCAAAGCAGGGCACATCTCCTCAAGTATGGAAAAGTTATGCTGCGGATTGCGTCATTAATATCATACGCGGGATCGCAGAAGTAGGATTGGAAATACTGCGCGGCTTCTCGACGTTCGCCCAACAATTGATATATGTCGGTGATCAAATTATCAACAAATTCCACTTCGGTTTCTTTGCTTTTCCTAGCGTTGTGACATATAATTATAGCCTGTCAAGCAAGGTTGAATAATAAGATTCATGCAATGCAGTAAGTACACAACGTCGTGTATGTCAAATTAAGGGGAAATCCTACCTGTGTCACAGTAACAACATAAAAAACATGCACAAGCGAGAAATAGGATTCCTTGCAGGACAATATGGGCCATGGAAGACAGAAGAGAATCCACATAAATGATGAAAAGGCATCACGGGCAAGGATAGGTTCAGATGCCTGTCTCCACAGTTGTACGTCTGGGTACCGTACCTTTGGATCCGCATTCTCTAGGATATAAAGCATAGTACCTACAAAGCATAATGGAAAAGACAATTCTGAAAACCAAGTATGATCAAAACACACACACACACGTGTATACATATATATACACACACATTTAATGATCATATGTTCATTAGAAAGGCACTGCATTGATGTGTTTCAGTGTTTCCCTTTTGATGCATGAACAAAATGGACGCAGCTCTTGACGCAATAACAAATCTGCTGAAATCAATTAGCTTAAGAACTTCAAAAGAAGGAGCTATACCTCCTTGCCGTTTAGAGCGATTGGATAATTCATCTTGATAGGCACCAGGGCATAAAGACCTGACAAAGAGCTGAAGGCCGTGACATCTTAATAGGATAGTCTGAGAATCCGTTGTCCGTGTGCTTTGAATAACATCTAATAGCAAGGTCAGGATAAAGCAACTAGAAGAGTTAAGTTCCTTGAATACAGCACCAATGCTGTAATTTGGACTCAGTGAGCTCTTTACTGATCGAGCTGCAATTTCGGTTGACATGAGCGAGTACTTCAGCGCGTCCCATAGAATCAATGAATGGCTTATCCTTCCAGTTTCTAAAATCTTATCCTGGCCGGGATAATACATTCCACACAGTAAACGAATGATAGGTTCGAGATTAGGATTTGGCTTTATTCTCACATTTTGTGTTGCTAAAGTTTTTAGAGCCTCACTACTTTCGGCAACATTTGCAGCCCTCTGTAGGAGTGACAAAGCATCTTGGAGACGAAAGGAACTTCCACCATCATCCGACGAGGTGGAAGGGCTGCTAGCATCTGTAACGTTGATGGTTGAGCCAGCAGGTAGCTGAGGAAGTTTTCTAAGATCTCCAGGCAAAGCCGGTAGGATAGAGTTAGCAAGTCCCCGGCACACTGGACAAAGGAACTCACCCTGCCAAAACAAATGAACATTACCAAATTTGTGTATCTGTCGGCAATAAAAGATTCAAAAATATAAAATCTTTACCTGATCTGGATTCACAATGTGTCCTCCTTCAAATACACTTCTTCTGATATATCTGTGCACATAGGAAGAAAAAAAAAAGACGAACACTTTTTAAGCAAGTCGAAATAAAATATCAGCGTTGTTCCCTTCAATATTAGAAATTTATAATAATTTAATTCAAATCTATAAATTAACATTTGTGGCTATTTGCTAGTACTCCTATAATAAAGAACCGATTTTTTTTTTTTTTGACCTACCCTTGTTTCTCTCTAAAATATTGTCTCCAGACTCTAAAGTATGGAAAACTTCTAAATTGATTATTGAAGCAAAACATTAAAATGGTAAGCTATTCATCAATTAAGTTATTTGGATCCTGAAGTTGACCACATACAACTTTAAAGTTCAAAACTATGAAAATACACATATGGTTTTAGTTGCTTTTCTTATTATAATAAATTAGAAAGAAATTAAAAAAAATAACTGTAGATGAAATAATATTTGTTAAGAATTTATACTCTAGTAATCTGACATCTCAGTTTCATTAGAAAATCAGTTCAGAATAGATAAGAAGACGATTTTCTTCATAAGACACCAGTCTTTTTTTACCTAACATTGTATAGGTGAATATTTTGGTTTCAGTTTTTACCAGATATTTGATTCAAAAATAAGAGTTCCAAAATAATTGTTCGCTAAATTCATTTAACATAAGAGTTCCAACATAATTCAAGCATTCCAACTACTGTTCTATACTTAGATGTGATAACGAGGGCCACAGGGTGGCAAGATGTTCCTGTATAGGAGGAATGAGAAGAACAGGGGATGATAAAGGTTTACCTTTCCTTTAGTGATGATAAATACCGATCCAGACATTCTTGATGCACTGCATGCCCACAGGACGAAACATAAATTCCATCACCACCATCAGGACCAAAGTTATCATATCCTGTACTGTGTTTACTGGATCCGGATTTCATTGTCACCAGTCCCGAGCTGTCATTCTGTGAAGCCGAAGGGTTATCTTGTGGATCTTTAGGCAGAGCCGCTATGTATTTACCAAGCACGAAAGATTCAGCATTGTCTCGTCTTTCCTTGCTGCTTCCAGCAGTTGTACATTTTTCATCGCCTTTTTTAGAATCTGAGCCGTTCAAACTAGCTTGAAACTCCCTGATCGACAAATACATATGTTCTTCCAATGTCTCAAGGGAAGATGAAGTCATCTCCCTTGTATCTTTTGAATCACAAGGGGCTCGAACATTCTTAATGGAAGGAAATCGGGCTTTAATAAATTCAACAAGAGCATTTACTTCCCGAGGTTTTCCTGTATAAGCAAAATCTTTTAAAGCACTCTGAACCGAATCTTCCAACTCAGACGATGAGATCATTTCTGAATCATCCGAGTTGCTGCTTGGAGATAAATGATTGCTTGAGGTTGTCACGTAAGAAACATGCTCTTTACCGGATCGACTAACTTGTTCCCACGAAGGAGGCCCTTGATTGACAAAACCCAATAGCCTGGATTTCTTTGATGAAAATTAAACGAGGAATCAGGATCATATCTTGCAGAATTTAAATAATGACTAATGTTAGTTGGTCAACTGTGTTGAGTCAACCACATGGTATCAACTGGAACCAACATGACAAAGATAAAAATCAGAGAGCTCTAATACCTGGAGAAGAACTAAAAATGATACTGGACTTCTAGATTTAGCATCATGGCACAGAGAGCAAACGGCTTGAGCAGACTCTTGGGTATCATCGCTAATGTCAGAGTCAGAAGCTTCTTGCTCAGACTTGGTATCATCCATTTCATCCATCTCATCATCTCCGTCGAAATGAAAGCTCTCCAAAAACTTCGACTGCTGGGCTCTCATCTTTTCCTGTAAATCAAACTCTGGAATAATGAGCACTAAAAAAGGTGCAAATGCCACTCGTTGAGACCGATGTATAAAAACACAATCAGAAAATATATAATACTCGAATTGAATCTCAACTCTTGTCTGGGATTGACTACAAAAGTAACAGATTTATGTTACCCTATTGAAGATCTGACTTCAACGTTTTATCCAGTAACCAACCAAGCAAAAGGCATTTGATAAACTTGACATCATAACAAGGATTCACTGTCTGTGACGTGTTTGAGGTAAGTTTTGTTTTTTAGTCAAGCAGATTTTGAAAACACTGACCCAATAAAGAAAAGAGAAAAGGAAAGAGCAAATCATCATCCTGTAAGAACTCGCATTGGCTGGATACTGCATGTTTCCAAATATAAATTTATTTGAATAACGTAACTAGATAAGCAAGGTACGTAGTTCCTCTTAGTTAATGAATTATCCATATCTCGTTTCATATCTCTTAAACCGTAATAAATAAAAACCTCACCAAAATAGCAGCTTGTCTTTCTCGAGACTTTGCTTTGTGCTTTTCGCTGTCAGAACTCAAATCCGTGTCTCTAGCACTATCATTTGAAAGAGAATGTGAAAATTGAGCAGCTAATTGAGGTGCAAGTTTCTGCAATTTGGTCATGCATTCTGGTTCAAGCTCCACAATGGTCTTGACTATACTTAAAATTAAAGATGATAAATTAAAATTGTCAGCTTCCATGAAGTTTCGTGCGTTTTCTTTCTCGTGCATCTTCATCAACAAGACAAGAAGCGACAACATGCTCTGATCACCATACTTGCTCATGCATATTTCTTCACTAGCAAATGCTAAAATTGGAATTACATCACCCTCGTGACATAACAGATCATCCGACTCCTTGTGTAGTCGACAGATATCCATTGCCAGTGCCAATAAATGCAATGCAGTTAGAAGCACACCATCAGGAGCACGCGATGATGTAACTTTGTCACTGAAAACAGCATAGAATAGAACGGCACGGATGACTTGGAGTAGCGTTCTACAAGTAGCGATTTTAGCTATTCCTCTGAGAGGGTGGTAAATTTTGGTCCATCTGGGAAGTTGAGTGGTCAATGCAGAAACATTACAAAACCGCAAGTATCTTTCTTCTGCTGCTTGCTGATCCCTCAAGTTCCAACGAGGATGATATAGATCAAGTTCCTTCCAGTTTGATGACCGTAGCTTATACATGCCCTGAGATGAAACAAAATAAGGGTCGTCGACAGTATACTATACCCAATACAGTGATATTCACTTTGCAGAACCAAACCTGAGTCATGCCAGATGGATGCGAATATTCTGCAACTCTGTCCAATACTTCTTGAAGTTCTTCAACTGCTCCAAGCTCACGGGAAAGAGATTTGACAAGCTGGCTACGAGTGGCATCTCCAATGGAGAGCTTGTAGACCAACTCCCTTTGCAAACACTCTGCAGTGGTTAGCCCACAAAACCTTCGTTCTTTCACTATTTGTATTAGAAGACTAAGCATTTCGGCAACTAGAACTGGTTCGTGCCTGCAAATTAAAATCACGTATAGATATTCAATTAACTTGTCTATAAGGAAACAATACTTTCATGTTCAAACCCTCGATGTCGGTCGATCAGTCAAGATACATAAAAATGAGATCATGTCCATGAATATACCCCAGACTTGGTTAACTACTATCAACTGAAGAAAAACTTATAACATGCAAACATTCCACTGTTTTCACCCATTATCCTTATCTACATAGAACCTGAGAATAAATCAATTGAACTACTAATGCAAACATGCTTTTCAACAGTAATTTACTAGACAATTTTCATATGGTTTTATAGGTATGACACAATATAACATGGACAGTTAAAAGGATTGCAATGTGGAATTGTTGTACGGGAAATATAGTATGCCTCACACAATTTTGGAGATTAATACCCCAAACCCAGTGCATTAACATGGTCATTCTAAATGGAAATGATGATTTTTCATATAAATAGTATCCATAACTAGGTCTATAAGACATACAACTGATTCGAAAACAAGAGAAATGCAAATTAATCATTTGATAGCTAGTTAAGTTTCAAACAAAAGATTTTGTACAAGAATCAACAGAAAATGCAATTATCTAGATGAGCATCCAAAAAAACTGTAATTTACCCAAAGTGTATCAGGGCATAAAACATGTATCACACTAACTTTTTTTAGCATAAACTGCACCTTTGTTCCAATCACATCTCAGATCACCCTGCTTTTCTAAATAACTGCTAAAAATATTGAAGAAAATTAATTTAAAAAAGAAAACGAAAAAATGGAATCATAGTTTTCCATCAAGCAATAGTTACATCAACATATTAGTATGAAGCATTCACATAAATTCCATGATGTACGATTACCATTATCGAGGTCAGCTAATAAAAGTTACTCTAGAAATAAACATATTTATTTACCAGTTTACTTGGAAATATGTTTGAAGATTAGAACCACTCAGACAGAGAAATAACAATCTTCCATTTAATCTTACTAAAAAATGGCCCAGAAGGACAAGTTAAAGATGAAATTACATACTCACTAGACTGTTCAAGATCCAGGGACAGGTAGTCTGATAGCCCAAAGCGCTCCAGAATTCTCTGGACATAAAGGTCTGGTGGAGCTAATGTAGCACAACATTGGAGCAAGAAAAGATCAAGCTCCTGACCTTGTTCAGACCTGCATCAAGAAACCAAAGAGAATAATTTGGAGAGACACGAAAAACAGAACTATAAAATGCTAGTAGATATAACAGCATGAAGCACCCCAGCTTTGTAGTGAACTATATTTATCAGTAGTTGGACCGAAAGCATAGACATACCAGCGGGCGGAACGATACCACTCGCTGAATAATATGGGAGCATCCCCATTTCTGCGCCACATTTCAGCATGAACCTGCGCACAGAAAACCCTTATCCGCAGAGGATGCTCCATCAGAAAGGCAGAAAACCCATAAGGGTGGCATCCATCCAAAACCTGGCCAAAGAAGTCATTGTATCTGACAGATGAACGATCTGCAGAGCCAGTCCTCTGGAGATATGATGATCCAGATTCACCATAACATTCTTTAAGTGCCCTGTGCAGAACCATTGAAAGGAGTCGGTGTAATGGAATGTGTATAGAGATTTCCTGGGAACTAACTTCATACACGATATCAGGCCAACCCGACAAACTCAGCACTCGCAGGCCTTCTAGCTCGCAGGAGCTCTCTCCTTCAAGGAAGTTGTCATCAGAACCACCGGTAGAAGCTTGTCCTATGGGTTGGCCATACTCCAATCCTACGCCAATTTTCAAACCACCCTGGGATGGAGAAGAACTTTGTCTGTTCACAGAATCGCCAAAGGTTCCAGGCTTACCATCTGATGAAGTGGATGATTTAAATATATATTTACCTCTCCTGAACCTAGAGAGCGTTCTTTTAAGGGCAAGGAAATTATTTCCAGAGCCGTCACTTGTTTTCAGAGATAAGGCACTGAGAGGGCCCAGTGTTTTGTCCAGTCCCAACCAATTTTCGATTGATCTCAAGCATTCATATATTAACCACAAAGCAGACGACGGCACAGGAAAACTATCAACAGCCTTGGCCTCATCATCCAATGAGTTCTTGCCTATAATACTACTAACGGAGCTTTCTTGAGATAGCCTTCCAACTTTTGCATGTCTTTGGCTGTCTTGGTCTTCACAATCTAATATACATGAGCTGAAGAAAGTTTCCTCCCTAGTATCATCATGAATACTCACCGAAAATGCCCCAGCCACTAGAAGAGAAAGAACATTATGTATGTAGTGACATAGACTGAAAGGCAAATGGGCATTCTCATTTTCATCTTCGGGGTGGATACCTATTTCTCTCTTTTGGGTGTTCATCCCTTGCACTGAAGCCAAGACTTTCATCCATTTCCTAACTAAATCCCGCCTACGGTGGCATAAATATTTGCTTACAGTAGAATGGCTTATTACAAATCTAAGATCTTCAACCACACGAATAGTAGTTTCATACAGGTTTGCCCATTTATTAACCTGCAAAGCAGCAAAATTAAACATTTTTCCATCTGAATGGACACTGGAGAGTACAGCAACATAATCAGCAAAACAACATATAAAGTAAGTGATCATTCAAAATTTTCATGCAATGGCATCCACATGTCATTTTACTACATCAGTCGCTGCATAGAATGAGAGCAAAAACATCAGGCAATGTGATCGTTATAGTATAGCAGCAGCCAGCAATTTTTACCAAATCCAGATCAGTTGATGATCTATTTTTGGATCAAACACGTCTGTCCTTGCAAATTAAGTTTCTCACAAGAATTAGAGTGGCTAAAAAATATAGACCCTTGTGTGGCCACCACCATTTTGAACTTCTGGCTCCAGCAAATTATTGATGTTAAGGTACATAAAAAGGTTCTATCTCTTTAGTAAGTAGACTGTAGTTATAAAAAATATTTTCCCAACATAGAAAACTTGAGATGAAGCAGGACAGAATTTGCTATTCCATAGGGAAGGGAGGAGGTGCGAGTTTCATTTAAACGCATACATTTTGATCATGTCCAGATGTTACATCTTTATTAAGGGTCAGCACAATATATACCATTCGGATCTGAGATCAGTTATACTTCCTCACCTTAAAAATATCACCATTCCATCAACCAACAATAAATGTGAATTTCCGTGAAGCAAATAGAAGATGGAATAGGTAACAAGCTAATTACTAAACTATGTTATAAACCGTTTCAGATGCTACTATATCAATCAATATCACTGCAACAATTACAGAAAAGACAAGTTCTCCAACACTATTGCAAATTAACATGATTGTGACTGTTTTGCAACAAGAGGCTTGTGAAATTTTATATTCTAAACTGAAGTCGAAATCCGTGCCAAATTATTCGTCTTTTTGGAAAAATTATTTTGTTTAAATTACTTGTCACCTTATTTTGGCTCAAACAATTCTTCCTAACAGTTAGAAATGCATGTATTCAATTCAGAAATACCACAAATACAGAATATACAAGAAGTGCAGTACCTGCAGCTTTCCATCTTCTCCAGAGCAAGAAGCAAACATACTTCCCAAACATTGCAACAGCACTCCCAGAAGATTCATCTCCGCAACAAGTCGTGGGGTAAGAGTCGGCACAGTCAAAATTTGGACAGAGAATGTTGACATCAGCGGATACTTTTTGAAATCAGCGTCACTGCCCTCGCTTATGGTGGCATTAATAAAAGTCGGGTAGTAGAGTACAAACACTTTTGCAAACTCATATTTGAACACTGGTTCACCTAACATTTTCAGGAGCAACTCGTGGAGCTTCACAATAATGCCATCATCAACAAACCTCTCTGCCCTTAACAAAATATCCAGTAAACCTGCTGAAGAATATACTCTTTGAGAAATAAAACTGAGCAAACTTTCACTCTGATTACAAAATTCTAATAGCATCTCCACCACAACAGAGGTCAGCTCATCTGCAGCCTTTTGGAGTACAGCAGCAGCATGACCAACCACCGTAGGTGTCTCTCCGATCAAATTTTTCACAAAAAGTAACTTGTCTCTCCAAAAACCGAGCAATAAATCCAGAATAGGCCCCAAAGACTCCACTACATCCTTGGAAAGTGGTTGAATCTGCTCAGCGCCTTTGTGTTTTGAACAAAAACCTTTGCGTTTCCATGCGGTAATATCCCCACAATCACAGCACCCCCCACCAGTATATATGATGGAGTAATCATGGTCCTTGTGGTTTCCATTCTCAAAACAAGGAACACAAATTGCGCATGTGGGGTCATGCTCACAAGTCCTGCAGCGGTAAGCAATATCTCGGCTCCCCCAAACAGCCCCGCAAACACCTCTCTGATTAGCACTCATTTTAGCCAGGCGCTCAAGTGCGACTCGAGGGTCGCCTTCAAACATCAACCACTGCAGCCAAATAATGCACTCAGGGAATACATCTTCATCAACCTCATCTTCATCAGAAGGCAATATAGCAGACACCAAGTCTCCTATGCGAGATCTGTTACTCTTTGCAAAAGCAGCCAAACCACGCGGCCCTTGATTCAAATTTTCCCCAGGAATCCCCAACTGCGAAAGCCTCTGTAACACAGGGTTTAGATCATAAGCTTTTTGACAAAATATTCCGAACTTATAGCCATAACTTTCCAGAACATAAATACATATTGAAATGCGATCTATTAAAACAAATACAGAAATTCAAGCCTCCAGAAACATCAATTTGCAAACCTTCCACAATGCGTATTCTAATCATATTCCAGTACGGACATTTGTAAGGAACGGTACCAAATAATTCGCAAGTCAACTCCCAATTTTCAAATGGCACATGAACTTCAAGAACTAAAAATTATCAAAAACATTATAGGGTTTGAATAATTGCATCAATTTACTGCAGAATTAACCGCACGAGAGACCGAGATACATACCTGAACAATAAGATCGTAATGAGATGGAGCCACGATTTCCGGCGACGAATGGATCTCCATTGGAAGCATAATCCTTATCCAACCGATGCAAGAACACCTACTGATTACACAACTTTCACTCCCCCAGGACTGAAGCTGGGTCTCACTCCACAGGTAAGCGCCCTCGCATGTAGGGTTTGAATAATTGCATCAATTTGCAATTAATAGGAGATAATTTATCAAAACCCTAGCGGAAATTATAGATGATCGTCAATTTTGTACAGATGTACTGCGGCAATTTCTCTCTCTATCTCCCAGAGTTTGCGTCTGGATGGAATTCCTCTCTCTTATGCTATATACTTCGTGGGGGGTTGTACGTATAGCTGTAATGGGTTGTACAGTCAAATGACGGTTTACCGCATTGCTCTCTGAAATAATTTTTAAGTTTAAACCTAGTATACGCCTCTCAGACCTTTTCAGATGGGGTCGGAATTTCCTCATTCCCCTATTTGTATTTGTTTATTATTATTATTATTATTATTATTATTATTATTATTATTATTTGAAATTGAATTTCAACAAATTGAATTTCAGCAAATTGACATAAGTGATAATTGACTTTTCTCATTCCCCCATCGTTTATTCTGTTGGTGACTACAGATACTTATAGTCGATTATGATTGACTATAGTCGATATAGTAATTTAAATTTATTGAAATAAAATCGAAAATCTTAAGCCCCCACCCAAGTTAATAGAGGATCTAATGTTATATTCTTATTTTTAGTCATGAAATTTGGATAGAAAAGGAAAGAATGGAACAGTAGGATTAATATTTCTGAACGGTCGATTTAAAAAATATATACGCTGTGGGCCCACAATATAGCACAAACTTCATAAGAATATGTTATTGTCCAATTTAGGCCAAGCTCGATTTTGCTCTTGAATTTTCCCAAGAGACCTCGTGACAAATAGATTTTTTATTTGGGACTTGTATTTTGTAATTAATTATTTGATGTTATTTATGCATCACAAAGTATATCATAAACAAACAATATATAAATTCATATAACAACATGCAAACCACAAATATATTGATCACTTCTTGATCTCTTAGACCATCACTTAATAAAACACTAATCTTCAACAAAGTACAGAGAACATTTCACCATTAACGCACCCAAGTCAACGGAAAGAGTACCAGTTCCACATAAGCACGAACCAAAAAAAAAGTTATTCAACAAATCCTTAAAGAAGAAAAGATATAACACGAGACAGCACGATATCCGAAGACGTGGCGTTCATCGGGCATTAGGGGGGTGATCGCCTCCCATCGAACGACACCCCATCTGCTCGAGAAACTTAGTCAAACGCAAGTGTTTAGCAGCCCATTGCTCAGCCAGTTTCTGCTCTTTCACCTCAGCCTCTCTTCTCAACCCCGCCAGCTGTTCTCTATACTCGGCTTCGATTCGGTCGAGCGTAGCCTTCTGCTCTTCCCTAAGAGCATGCACTTTCGCTTCAATCTCCTCCATTTTCTCTCTCCTCCGACAAGCTTTCTCCGATTCCAGCTGGAGCTCCACTCTCTTCAATCTCCACGCAGCTTCTTTCCTGTGCGAAGCCAACGCACGGTGCCCTTCCTCCAATTCTCTACAGCAATCCACAAGTTCAGAAGCCACCGTATTATTATTAGTATTATTATTATTATGATCGGTAGTACTTTGTAGCCACGGGATTGCGGGTCCCACAGGCGAAAGGCTTAAAGTCACCGACGGTGACGGTGGCTGCCTCACAGTCACGGTCGTGCTTGAACCGGCCGCCAGCCATGGAGGAAGAGCTGAAGGAGGCGGCGGTGCGATTTGATTATTATTATTATTATTGTTGTGAATAAAATTTCCGTTCGAAGTAGGCATTGTTATCAGCTTCTCGGCGAATGTTTCCAAAATGTGATTGTATTTGCCCTCGTCGATGGGCTCGATCTGTCTGTTGCTCTCTTTGTGTTCGCGCAGCTGTTTCTCTTTGAAAACTTCCCACCACTTGCCGAGTCTCTTGGCGGTTCTGCCGGGGACTTCAGCGGCGATTTTCTTCCATTTGTTACCGTGCTTGGCTTGGAGTTGGATGACGTGGAACTGCTCTTCTTCGGTGAGGGAGCCTTTCTTGATCCCGGGCTTGAGGTAGTTTTCCCACCTTTCTAGACAGGATTTGGAGTCTCGATCGAGGGGTTTGTTCATGCGGTCGGAAACGAGGTGCCAGTCACGCGGGCCATATTGTTTGACGTACGATCGGAGTAGTGCATCCTCTTCAGGCCGCCACCTCTGCCTTTCCTTCATTTCCTGACGAAAGCTCTGCCCATTGCCTCAAACTCTTCATACTTATCTGATCGAAATTCCAAAAAAAATCATACAACAAATAGTAAGCGACAACATAAAAGGTCCTAAACTAACATCAAAAATCAAGAACTATGAAAACACCAAGAGCTTCATACTTAGAGCATAAACTGAGATAAAAGCCAATTAAATACATGTTAGGACATTTTTTCTATAGAAATTAGACAAGATCATAATATCATATCCTAAGATGATAGAACCACTTAAGAAAATCTTGCCCATGCTGTGGACCACTTTACAAATGGGTAAGGATAATAAGAGAGTTCAGTTTGGCAGTTCATTCATATAAGCCAACAGCTATTAATTATTGTTCATCTAAAGTAGCCATATGAAAGAAGATATCATTGAAACTATATTATAATATTCACTACATTAATCTAAACAAAGATTTGATTTTTATAAGCTCAAAAATTCAAAGTTCACATTTTGATCTAAAAAATATTCGATTTTTACCCACATCCAAGACATTTCACATCACATTCAACATTCAACAACAAACGTTTGCATGAACAAAAACACAAAGCTAAACAAAATTCAAAGTTCACATTTTGATCTAAAAAAGATTCGATTTTTACCCACATCCAAGACATTTCACATACATACAACAATCAAGAACAACCATTTGCATGAACAAAAATACAAGGCTGAACAGAATTTCATAGTGAACAAAGATAGCTTACACTAATGTTCAAGAAACTCTGTTCTCTGCACAACCCATTTCTTTGTTTCCAACAAAATGGTCTCTTTAATAATAAAAAGATTGGGATCTGGGTAGCAAAGATGGGATGGAAAAAGTACAATTTTCAGAACCAGAGGGGGTAAAAGCAAAGATTAAAAGAAGTAGTGGCTCTCTCTCTCTCTCTCTCTCTCTTTATTTCTTTAGTGGAGATGGAATTCTGACGTAGTAAAAGGAATGTGGTGACGTTTAAAACCCGGGTTAATGTCTGAACTAAAATGGCTACACAAACAAAAGACAAACAGAGTCACACACACACACACAATTACAAGTGTGTATTTAATCGTGTGTATGAGTAGAGAAAGAAAAGGGTAAAGAAATAGTAAAGGAAAAGAGTTGGGGGGGTCAACGAGAAAGAATAAAATAGAAAAAGGGAGAAAGAGCAATAATGGGGGAATTCTTTCTTCGCCACCAGCGTACAATAGCCTAGGTCTTAGCAACTATCATGATCATGGTATAGAGAGAGAGTGTGATATTTCACTGCACCCTAATTTTAATTTTTTTCCTTTTTCCCCTTTTCTGCAAAATCTGCCCCCCATTCCCACCCCCCCTCGACGTGACTACACTACTACACCTTGATTCTGACAACATTGATTCCCACAATCCACCCCCTCCCACCAAAGCCAAATAGTATCCACCACAATTTTTTTTTTTTTTTGTTAAATTACAAACACCTCCCTGAGGTAAAGTGTAATTTCAGACAACCCCTTATGTTTTAGCAATTACATCTAGCCCCTTTCAGTTTGAAACTTTCTTACATCCACCCCTACGAAAGGGTGTAAATGCAAGAAATCTACAAATTGCATGGAGGTAGATGTAATTATGAATAAATTATGGGTTGTTTCGTAAATAGATCTTAACTCAGGGTTGTGGTTGTAGTTTCGCCTCTTTTTGTTTAGTTTACATTACAGCCACCCTGAGGTAAAATAAAATTATGAAAAAACCCCTCATATTTGGGTAACTACAACCAACCCCTCAACTATAAATTTTCTTACACGCACGCCCACTATTGTGGTGTCAAATTTAGTAGAATTTTCTAAATTATGTGGAATATTCTCTAATTTGTACCCATTTTACCCCATTCGATCTTCACATTTTGGAGCAAGATGATCATAAAATTTGTGTCCATTGACTTGTAAATATCAAATTGAGGTGCATCAAAAACTGCATTTTTGCACAAAAAGAGGATAAACTAGAGAACATTTCATGGAATTTGACATCACAGAGATAGGCGTGTAAAAAAATTAAAAAATTCATAGTTAAGAGAAGTTGTTGTAATTACCCAAATATGAGGGGGTTTTTTCGTAATTTGATGTTACATCAACTATGCCCGTAATTTACCATTTTATTTATAATTGTCCACCACAATTATTTACTATTTATTTTACTAGTATATAAATTTGGCCTTATGTCATATCATCGCAATTTAATGGTTTATTTAGTCATTTACTATTATAAAATAATTATATTATCACCATATTTATAAATATATAATTCTAATATAATCAATAAATCCATATTTGCAATGAATTAGAAATATAATATAATATATATCCACATTATCCAGTCATAATTGCCATGAAAAACTGACACGTGGCAAAGAGGGACCCAGGGTGGGACTGTAGTGCGGGTTTCACGGCACAAGGAGACGAAAGTGATAAAGACAGGACTTTACTGTCCCAACCCCCCCTCCTTCTCTTTCTCAGTTTCTGTCAGTGATACGTTACGTCTGTTTTCCCCCCCTTTCCTTCACCACACTACTCTCCTTTAAAACTTCTACCCCTCATACTTTCATATATATCTACTTTCCACCCCATAACTTTTATTTTTTTCCAAATCACCCCTCCTTGTTCAATCATTGACACCAACTCACCTTTTCTTATTATATTTTATTCAAAACTCATTTTCTGGTAATAAAAAGAAATTGTAAAAGGAAATATTTGGGAATTGGGATAAAAAATTACCCGATAATGGAAAACTGAAATCTATATATATATAAAAAGACAATCTATAGGCCTAAAATGGTGACACGTGGCATTTTTAGGGTTTCAACCCTAATGGTAGTTTTTGTAATTTAATATATTCCTGAGACTATTTTTGGAATTAAAAAACCACGTTGGCATCTCCTTTTGTAGTTTCGTTTGCAGTTTTTTTGAGAAGCAGATGAAAACCCTCGCTGAGAAAAACTGCAAACACCATAGAAAAACTGAAACCACGACAGAACTCATTAATCTGCTCTTTTCCAATTTCGCCATTCCTCTCTCTCCCATTTTTTTATTTTTCTTATTCAAATTTTGCAATCCAAATTAGAGGGAAATTGTGCAAAACATTTGAAACAAATTTTTGCAGTCCAATTGAAGTCCCCACTTGATGCCAATTTTTGCGAGGAAAATAAATAAAGCCCAAAATCTGATAAGTGATAAAAATCTTCTTCATTTTCTTCTCAACCCTGTAATTGATTGATGACATAAAAACAATTCATTGGGGGTTGTGTTCGTTCCTATTTTTTTTTTTTTTTTTGGCAAATTTGTGCACATGTATTTGGACATAGCACATATATGCTTGACGATGAAGCAAATAACATTGTTGTTCTTCAATCAAATTGGGCGCTGTTATGGTAATTTGGCGGTCAAGTTCCTAGCGTAAATGTGTGATTTTTATGCCTCCTTTAATTTTTAGTTGTCTTCTTCATGATTCACTTGGGGATATAACATAATTTGGATTTTCAGTTATTTTCTTCTTAATTTTGATTTCTTTTTTTGTTGAATATCAATTGGCGGGATTCTTAGTTTATAGGTTATGTCAAATTACAGGGTTGATAAGAAATACATGACAATACAAATATTTAATACATAACCCCGTATTTGCTTAAAATTTTAATATTTGGAATTTCTTAGATGATTATATCTTAGTTTTGCTTCAATTCTATTTTATTGGTTCCTTCAAGTATTTTGCTTGCTTATTGGCATTATCTAACCCAGTGTTTTATTTTTTCTTCACAACTTATCTTTTTTCACAAAGAGATAGGCTTAAAAATAATTTCTATTAACCATGTTTTTCAAATTTATGTTATGTGTTATGAAAAACAATTTAGTATCTGCAATAGTGTTCATTATGTTGAGATTTCAAGCTCTTTAAATGTATTTGTTTTTCTTGCAGGTTTGTCAAGACAAGTAATAATTTATTAAGATGTCGACACAAGCAACAATTGCAACTTATGTTCATACCAAGGTATGCAAATGGCATTTATATTACTGTATATTTAAATTTTCTTCATTTTTTTTTCTTTTTCAGATTCTGTATGTTCTTTGAGGAACTTCGTGGTTCAAATATTATCCTTCCATGATCTACAGATTTACTCAATATATAGCACCATCTCTTCGAGAAGGCTTTTTTTAACGCAATAAATTTTGAGGTAACTATCTTTTCTTGAGGCTGCTTTCGACAAAATATATTTTTTCGATTACATTCAATATGTTGCAGTATGATCAATGTTTTTTTCCCTGATATTGCAATTAAATTTTCCATGTTTCATTTGTTTGTTGCATGTGCAATTTTTATATTGCTACTTACTCAATGTACTCCGGTTCGTATCTTGAGCACAGCGATGGGATATTTGGTAGTCTCCAAAGGATAGATAAAAACATTGTGAAGGAAAAACAATTTTCTATTGCAAATTTTGAGTTTTTCAGTCATTTAATATTTTATATTTCACGGAATATAATCCAGGGCGTCATAAAAATCTATAAACAATCAAATTATGATGCAAAGAACGATCATTTCTTTTACTGAGAGTTAGATAGTTTTTGGTGCTGCAAATAGCTATTTACAGGTCATCTGGGAGTTTTTTTTTTATTTCTCATCGCCCATCGCAGCATAACAGCTATATTTGGTTTTTTTTTTTTTTTTTTTACTTTTTCAGAAAAGAATTAGGTTCTTCATAGTTAGTATGCCATGTTTTTCGCTCTATTTCTTGAATAATTTGTATTTTTTTAGTTTGTTTTTGTATAGTTTCTCGATTGAGCATTAATAACTTTGATCTATGATATAATTTATGCGACAGGGAGCATAAACGTATTTTGCAAGGTCTCTGTTATAATTTTTTCTCCTATTTTCTTTGAACAAAGATGCTGGCTAAATTGTCAACGAGAGAGACAACAACATGTTAAACCAGACTCTGATGTTGATATCTACACAAAGGTAAATTAAAATTTACTATTTCTGCATTTTTTAATATACTTTCTCTACCAAATCAGTTAGTTTAAGAGATAATATATACTAATTAAAAAAAAGAATTAAATTACTATACAAGAAAATAAAATTATAAAAGTTTTCGTTGATGTATCTAAGACTATATGCTTAATGTTCTTATTTCCAATAACTTTAGGCTTTTCCATCGGAAGAAGATAAAGCAAATGTTGTCACATATGGTGTTCTTAAGGTATTGGTGTTTCATGTTCGTGCTGACATTTTGGTTGGAGATGCAATGACTAGGAATTTCTTTACGTCATAAAAGCATGTTACAACGGGTAAGTTAAATTGGGACTAAAATAAAATAACAACTTTCTTATGTACCTTTTTAATCGACCATAGTCATTTGTCAAATAACCATTATTCTTAATTTAGTTTTTAATGTTTTTAGTTCAATAAAATTAACCTTCTGCATAAAATTGTATTTGAAATTTATATCCATGAAAAGTTTCAGCAACCGTTTTGCTATAATTACATTCAATACTTTTTGACGTTTCATATTGCTTTCTCTAGAGGTCATTTTCATTAATATATTTTTTTTTACCCCTTACGAGCTCAGCACTCCCGATCTATTTGGTATCATTGCGGGTTGTATTCATTTCAACTGTCTGATGATTCAACATACAAAAGCAGTAGGAAAAAACAACTTTGTTCGGGTATGAATTTCTGAACTTTCGCGTATTTGTAGGGTTCTTATTTTCGATGCTTACTCTTCACATAAGATAAGAAATGTGTGTGCGCTAATGTGTGCATTGGGATCTATCCGTGCGTGCAGTGCAATTTATGTGTATAATGTAGCGTGTTTGTGTTTGTGTTTGTGTTTGTATTTTAGAGATAAACTGCACAATAAATTTAATTAGATTTTTGTATGTTTTTTTAAGCACTTACTAATTCTGAATTTTAGATTTTAGAATTTCTTTTATTACATTTATAATTAGTGGTAGGTTTTTTAAGATTGTTGGTCCATCTAGGTAATTCTGTTTCGTCAGCTACATTCATTTCCGTAGTAGGATTGGAAAGTTGTCATCAGTATGTTGTCTCATAGGTTATTTAATTGATAGTGAAATGTGTTTGGGAATTTTGTAGGATAACTTATAACATCTTATGTTTTGTTATACTTAAGGATTTTGGAATATGCTGCAATTTAAGTGTTAGTGACATATGGTCGGGCTTATGTAGGATATTTTGGTACCATCAACCTGTTACTCACAAACTATATATCTCTTCCATGCTTATGTCTCATGTGTAAATTTTTTATCATTTTTTCAGTATCATAGGATCAGAAGTAGAATTTCGTCTCAAGGCGTCGTTTAGGCTTGCAAATTCTAGACTGAAGCTACTTGGGAACAACAAAGACGTGCAAGTGAAGCAAATGAAGGGGAAACCAGTAGCTTAAGTCTGGTCAATATCTGATAGTTCAATCATACATTCATTTATTTCCGAATAGTTTATATGTCCAAACATTGATTTTCTCGGAAAATGATTTTTTGTACATTGTAGCCGAACACTCTCTTACATAAGTCTGATGACGTAAAACAATTATATGTTGTGCTAACAACGGAAGATGATACTCTAAAAGTCGTTAATAAACATAGTATAAAGTGATTAAAGAGCCTATTAAATTTTCTATTCTGTTTTTTGAAAACATGATTGTATGGACTTGAATATATACAAATATACCTCATTTGTTTTAAATCATCAATTTTAAATACGTATAATTACCGTCAATTCTAAATAATATTCACCGTGCATCGCACGGGTGTAGTACTAGTAGCATCTATTTAGTTATGACTTAGGTCAACTTAGTATTTCGATGGGAGTCTGTAACATATAGTTTGTCCTGTTTTGTGAGATTTAGCAGCAGAATTTTGTTTCCTTATCATGCAACATTAATTTTTTATAACTAATTAAAAAGATCAGTCTATATAATATATAATGTAGGGTGTGGTTACATTACATATATAGATAGCAGCAGCCCTGCCAGCTGCAACTGTAGAATAGAGCTGCTGGTTACTCAGACAACTTTGAAGGGTCACGGGGGACAACAAAATCTTTAGCCCCAATAATAATATTTAAAATAAATACTAAAATTACTAACATAAAAACCAATTATCAAGAATGGAATAAAAATACAAAAAACAAGTTATAAAAATGAAGATTAGTTTGTAGAAGAGAGAGAAAGTGAGGGGAGGGGTAATGGTTGGAAATGAGAAAAGTAGATGTAGACATGTCAAACGTATTGTAAAATTGAGGGAGATCCTCTTCTGATCTTCTCTTCATATGACTACCCCTAACCCTAACCCCAACCCCAACCCCACCCCCACCCCACCCCACCCCCACCCAAGCCCCCTCTGGATAAATTATTATTATATTTTGGTTGAAAAGGTGGGATAAATAGCTGGGCCGTGGATAAAGGGCCGATGTGTGATTCATCTTCAATTTATTAATATTTCATGTTAGGCTTTAGTATATAATTTTGGGCTTTGGGCCCGTAAGTTTTGGAGTTTTCCTTGGATTGGGTTGGGTTGGAAAGTTAAGAAATCTAAATCTTAGCCTATTAGGCCAAAATTGGTCCAAGTGTATATAGAAACCAGTAGAAATTATTGAGAATTCTAGAAAACTTTCTAGAACACTCCCATTCCATTTTGTAGAAATTATTTGGTGTGTTCTAGTGAAACACTTAGTTCAAATAGATCTCCACTGTCCATTAAAGAGGTAGAAATTATTTGGAGTGTTCTAGTAAACCACTTAGTTCAAATAGATCTCCACTGTCCATTAAAGAGGTGGTCTAGTATAAATAGGGGTAGAAACTTCATTTGTAATCATCCAACAAAAATGCAACAAATCCAACCACTCAAGTACTTTCCTACAAAACTCTCTTATCTTGTGGAGGCTAACTTAGCTATCGGTTTCTGGTAATTATTGTGAAGCCTGGTTTGGAATTCAGCAAATAGACTGCCTTGTTAAGGAGGGTGTAATAGTGTTCAATTGTAGTGTGTCAACTTTAGTATCTGCTTCACATCGAATTCTTGTTGCTCGTGCCGTGTAAACAGTTTTTCAAGTTTATCATGGCGGCAGTAGGTTCATTATGGCTGAAACATCAACATACTTTTCCAATTTCATTTTCGCATCGGCCACTGCATCTTGCACTTCCTTGATTAACTCTTTTGTTGCACAAATATACACTTCATGTACATGTATCCAACACTTCCTCTACATGTATCTACTTCAGACCACCAGAAGGGGAAGTAGATGAAACACGGGGAGAGTTAGAGGAGGATAAATAGTTGGAACTTGACATAAAAGCCCTTTAGTGATAAATAGTTGGACCTTGACATAAAAGCCCTTTAGTGTTGGGCTTTAATGTTTAATTTCGGGTTTGGTTTGCTTCTCTTCTGACCCAATGGACAGCCCAATCTCAATATTCAACATTATAATACAAATCTATTATTAAGGCTGGTTTGGATTTATCCAAGTTCTAATTAAAAATGTCTGAAAGATGTAATTGTTGGTTTGGATTTATCCAAGTTCTAATTAAAAATGTCTGCAAAGATGTAATTGTTTTGGTGTTCTTGTCTATTTCAGCTGGAATGAATGTAATCTTATTGCAGTATTATATAATAATTAATGTTAGATTAATCTTAGTGCAGTGGAGAAACTCAAGGCACGCCAAGTCCAACAGCTAAGCCTAGACAACAAACTAGTTAAAGGGATTAAAATAAAATAAAATAGTTGTGTGAATTTTCAGTTAATTACGTAATTATATATGTGTCGTGCAATATTAGATTTGATAATGATAAAATAATAATAATAAAGGGGCCATGTGCAGCAACAGATTTAAAAAAGAGTAGAAAGAAAAGACAAAGAAAGCAAGTCAATCTTGCACACCGCAGAGGTCTTGAAAAGGCGTTAAGAAAAGACTTTGGTTGAATAAATCCAAGTCCAACAACCCATCTTCTCTTCTTCATCAAGATTGCATCTTGATCTCCTCTTTTTTTTTTTTTAATCAACCAATATCATCAGCTGCTTTAAACTTTGAAGAGAGTGTAAGTAACACACACAGGCACAGTCAGTGAGTGTGTGTGTGTGTGTGTGTGTGTGAGAGAGAGAGAGAGAGAGAGAGAGAGAGAGAGAGAGAGAGAGAGAGAGAGAGAGAGAGAGAGAGAGCCCTTAGCTGAAAAAAATGAATACTTGTGTTTGTGTTTGAATTCTTGAGCTGTTTAATTAACAGAGATTTTGAGTTAATTTTTTGAGGGGTTTGTTTCAGAGTTTGTGATGGGGATTTGCTGGAGCAACCAGATTAAGGCTGAGAGTAATTTTCTTAGTGGCACAGGTACACTTTATTTTCACCTTTTTAATTTATTATTTTTGAATAATAAGTTTGGAATATTATTTTATTGTTTTCATTAATTACATAAGTTGATTGTTAACATGAATCCCTATATTTGATTAGTTAAAATGAACTCAGTAGTGTTTTGGATTTGTGATTGTACTAAAGCTAGGTTAACAAATGAGATATACAACTTGCCCTAAAAGAAAAGAACAAAATCAGTACTGATAATATTTAAATTGTGGCAATAATAATCTCAATTCTTGAAACCCTATTGGATTATACATAGATGTAGGTGCTACTTCATCGAAAATGGTGAGTGGAGATGGGACCGAGTTAAGTAACTCTAGCAGCAAAACTTCTTCAGCATCTATACCTCCAACTCCTCGAAGCGAAGGCGAAATATTGAATTCATCAAACATGAAAAGCTTCCAACTTTTTGATCTTAAGGCAGCCACTAGAAACTTCCGTCCGGACAGTGTAATAGGCGAAGGTGGTTTCGGTTCCGTTTTCAAGGGATGGATCGACGAGCATTCACTCGCTGCATCAAGGGCTGGCTCTGGTATTGTAATTGCCGTTAAGAGGCTCAATCAAGATGGGTGGCAAGGTCACAAGGAGTGGTTGGTACGTAAATAAATACCTCTCGGTTTTATTTTTATTTTAACTCAAAGCATATTATCAGTTCAATTGTCAAAAAATTGACTCGGTTTTGTAAAGGGTATTCGTCATTTGATTATCTCAAAAGAACTAGTTATATATGTGGCGGCAATTTTCATTTTCGACACATGTGCATCATCGAAGTGTTTCTTGATTTTACGTGTTATTTGATGACGTTGGTGGCAAAATATGCTTAAAATGTGTGTTCTTTCTTTCCGATTAACAGGCTGAAATTAATTATTTGGGGCAGCTTAGACATCCTAATCTCGTAAAATTGATCGGTTACTGTCTAGAGGATGACCAAAGGCTATTGGTCTACGAGTTCATGCCAAAGGGTAGCATGGAGAATCACCTATTCAGAAGTGAGTACATACTATAAATATAGTTTTGCTGTCATAAAACCGAAATAAAAAAAAAAAATGTTTTTAAATTGATTTATTTATTTATTTTGAGATAGGAGGTTCTTTCTTCCAGCCACTTTCGTGGGGACTACGGATGAAGATTGCTCTTGGTGCTGCTAGAGGTCTTGCATTTCTTCATAGTGACGAAGCTAAAGTAATCTATCGGGACTTCAAGACTTCTAATATTCTGCTCGATTCGGTATGTATATATATAATCTTCCGTTTCTGAATAATAATTTATTTATACATTTTGTTGTTGTTTCTAAAATTGGTTAAATTTATAGAATTACAACGCAAAACTTTCCGATTTTGGATTGGCTAGAGACGGGCCCACTGGCGATAAGAGTCATGTCTCGACTAGAGTCATGGGAACTCACGGATATGCTGCACCGGAGTATCTATCCACAGGTAATCATTAATCAACATGATTAATTAACTTTATTATAATGAATTTGTTGATGATTAATTGTTGTCCTAATTAGAAACCAATTTTTTTTAATTGTTGTGAGAAGGTCATTTAACTGCAAAGAGCGACGTGTACAGCTTCGGCGTAGTACTTGTGGAGATATTATGTGGTAAGAAAGCAATAGACAAGAATCGACCACCGGGCGAACATAACTTGGTGGAGTGGGCAAAGCCTTATTTGACCAATAAACGGAGGATTCTTCGAGTTTTGGATAATCGTTTAGAAGGACAGTATTCATTGGCTCATGCTGTGAAGGCAGCTCAGCTCGCTCTTCAGTGCTTATCCACAGAAGCCAGATCGAGGCCTAGTATGGATGAAGTGGTAACAGCTTTAGAGCAACTTCAAGACTCGAATACTAATATTCAAAAGAATCATCGGTTGAATAGACACGGTAAAACGAATAGCGGGCCTAATTCCGAGCCCAAGTCCCATAGAAGAAATGCGCAAGAAACACATAAAGTACAGGCTTACCCTAGACCAAAGTTGGTGTAGTGGTAAGAATTCTATTTGTGAAGATGTTCGATTGCTTGTTGTTTGTCTTGAAAATTCTTGTTAATTGTAGCTAAGAAACTTGGTTATGATAATATTTGTTACTTAAGCTTGTTTATTCATTATTTGCATTTGTGAATAGTCTTCCCTAAAACATTAATTTTGGCCCCCACCAAATTGCCATAGCCCACACAACTATGAATTTCACACACGTCATGTGTTTCCAAAAACAAAATCCTAACAAAAGGCTAGTATAACATTTTCTCATATATATACTGTTAAATAAACTTCTATAAATTAATAGAGTTGGGATCACACAAATTTTATCAATTTAGCGAAATATTAATTAAACGACATAATTTTTAACATGTTGTTCTCAAGACGGGGACTAAAAAAATATATTATTTAAACAAGGTTATTAATTTAATTTATCAAGAATCCGTTGTACGTTGTACGTGGAAATGAAAATATGAATTATATCAATTACATTAATAATAATTTGAAGCTGCGGGCTACATCTATTTTCCGTTAGCCGCTTCAGCCACCACACTCTCTTTTTAATAAAATAAAAAAAAGGAGAATTAAAAGGTAAGTGTAGCTGACCAGTTAAAAAAACAACAAATTAGTAAATTTAATTCCCAAAATAAATAAAAATTCTAGACGCGGAAATTTTTGCCGGTGAAGGTCTGGCCGAACTGCCAATTAGGGGGTGCCACGTTCATGGAAGTAGATGTACGGCCATCGCTGCCGGTGACTCTGAAGGACAAGGCCTGGCCCACAAGAACGGAGCTGGATTGCCAAGCTTGGCCCCAATTGCGGCTCATGGTCAACCACTGTGTGTTTGTACCTTTTATGCTCACCCTCACGATATCACCTGCACCCGCGACGTTGGTGATCAGAACCAGGTTGAAGTACTTGGAGCCGTTGACTGTGAATCTGACCCCGCCTTGCTTTCTGCACGCCACCCTGTCAAAAACAATTACATTTTCTTTTTTAATCAGTTTTTAATCATTATAATATAATAAATAGAGTTTGGTCACGTGACAATAACCCAATGGACTGGCATAATGAGCTAATGATGATGGATTTGTAAATTTATTGGCCCAATTAAGGTTGTTTGGGTGGGCCCAATTTAGTGGAGCCCATATCAATTGAGGAAAAATGGGGGTATTTTCGTCAAGTTTTCAAAATAGTGTGAAAACCCACATATGCCCAACATTTTAGGAAAATGTGAGCGGAGTAATGCCAACGACTAGAGGACAAAATGGTCAATTCACAAGAGAATAAAAAACATGAAGCTTCAAATTACCGGCGATAGTTAACGGCGACAATGCCGGCGCGGAACTCGGCGATCTTGATGAACATGGGCACGGCGAGATCGAAATGCGTGCGAGGTGGGTTGCACCAGCCGCCGTTGTCATTGGGCAGCGCGTTGTTAGGCGGGCAGAAGTTGGTGGCGGTAATAAGAATGGAGGGGCTGCCCGGGTTGCACGACTTGGAGTCCTGCGCCGCGTCGCACTTGATCTCGAAGCATGCACCACAGCTCAGCCCATTGTTGAACAGCGCCGTGCTTAGCGCCGCCGTGTTCACGCCGTAGCCCTGGCTGTACAGATTCCCATACCCGCACGCACCACCTTAAGAAAAGCAACAAAATGTTTTTTAATTAGTTTATAGCTCGCTAGGGCTTTTGCAAAACAATAATTAATAAATATATTAATTAATTAGTACCCATGGTGCCGGAGGCGTCGCTTCCGCCGTAGAAGGTGGCGTGGGCGTTCTGCCAGGGGCCGCCGGCGTAGACACCGAAGATTTTGGCGCGAGCAGTTGTAATAAAGCAGAGGATGCTGCCAATGTAGAGAAGCAATGTCGCTGCAGCTGCCATTTTCTCACTTTTCCGATTATGGATTTAAATTTTGAAAAGTTAAGCTAGAGAGAGAAGAAAGAGTGGGGAGTAAGTAGAGGTGTGTTTAGAGAGAGAAAGTGAAGGATTTGGGGGCGAATGTAGAAGAATCAGGAGGAAGATGGAGGGGCTACCTACTTATATTGGCGGGAATGAAGAAGGCTCCTGTCAAAACCCACTAATTAATTATTTTTACCATAATAAAATAAAAATCACTATTTTGATTTTACTTTTTATTTTTATATAATCAATACATTTAATAGTGACAATTAAACTAGACCTAATTTAATTATTAAAAAGCCAACTATTAATTAACTACTTCAACATTTTTACGATCCCATCTACAAATTAAACATGCCCATGTGCCTCGTTTTGTTTTTTATTATTTATTATTTACTAAGCTATTTTCCCTCTTTGGTCAAATTGTATTAATACATTACTATACTTTGATCATCAATAAAAAAATATTTGACCAAACCTTAAATTGTACTTGCAAAAGTTGGAATTTTGAGGAAAAAAGCATTTATAGCATAGTGTCCAGTGGCATACACAACGTGACATTAATCATCATGTATTTCTTGCTTTGCAAATTTGTAGACCCCCACATGGTAATATGCTATGTTTCTTTGACTATTTTCTTTTTCTTAATACATAATTAAATATTATTGTACATTAATTAGATATAAAATCATGTTGAATCTCCTTGTCTTCGGTTGCTAGGTGAAGTTTGTCACACGTTGTTAGTCTAGTGTGGTTTACATTTCTGGTATGGTTTGTAAGTTATTATACGAGAGTATAGATTTATCCAATGCCCTATATGATTGATACGAGAGTGTACACCTATATGGTTAGCTGCAAGTTCTTTCAATACAAAATAAAAATAAAAATGTATAATAATGGAGAAATAAAGAGAAAATCGTAATTATTTAAGTTTCAACAAATCGAGCATTTAATGATTCATTAAGCTTCTTTGGATAAAATTATTTTACAGTAAATTTAAACTTAGCTCTTAATTTAAATTACATTTTGAGTTATCATAATGAAAAAAAATTGAAATTCGTTTCTATAAAATAACTTGAAATATTTTCCTAGATTTTCTTATTAAATTCAAAAATAAAAATAAAAATTGATAACTTCAATTCAGATATATAGTATTTGTTGACTAATATATATATATATGAACACAAGTATTATGCCTCAAGCCATGCCAAAACATGTGAACCATAACAGCCCACTAACACTGCTCCAGCCCTTCCACGTGTACACATGTGAATTTCATTCTCATTTCACCTAGTAATATATTTACATTTTTACTTGTGATTTTATTCATTTTCTTCTGGTTTTTTCAGTTGAGTTTCAAGAAACCAAAATGATCTTGTTTTCATATAACGTAGAAGAATCAACGGTTACGGTAAAGATGAAACTGTAAGGGTCAACGTTTTGCAAGTTGAGTTATCGACTAATGATTAACACATGGTTGCCAGATGTGTCAAATAATTACGATGATGATAAGCTGATAATCAGGCAATAAATAATAAATTATAACCAAAATTGATATATTGTAAGAAATGATTTCCAATACTATACGGCTTTGACATTCGATGTATACGGCTTTGACTTTTGAGGCGTACGTTATTTTGGGATCTGAATTTTGAACTCACATGCCACTAAATGCTACTTGTATTATTTTTCTTAGTAATGTAATTATAGCCATGCTAATCAAATTGGTCTATCGCACTTAGTCTAATGAATGATACAATCAACCTCAAGTAAGATTACATAATCTTATCCTGACAATCAAATAAGATTATTCCGAATACACTATACTTATGCACGAGCCATTTAATTGTATATAATAAATAAGAAATGGCCATAATTGCAATTTAACTCTCCCTTGTGTCGTTTTGGAGCAATTATACAAAAGTGGAATTTACGCGGTTTACATTTGTAAATATCATAGAATTATAAAAGAAGGAAAAAAAAATCGTCAAAATTCCCCTCGGATTAGTTTGGGTTGCCAAAGGGGAAATTAGCTAGCACAAAAGCCCAGTTCATAGGCCCACTGTCAGAGTTGGGCCCATTGAACCCACATTAGGCCCAAGCAGAGCTAAGCCCAATCAAAGAATATAAGTTATTTTAAAAAAATGGTAAATTTCAAACAACCCCTGAGGTATGATAAAATTACGAAAACCCCCTCTTGTTTGGGTAATTACAACAACCTCCCTCAACTATAAATTTTCTTACACGTCCACCCTTGCCGTTTCAAATTTAGTGGAATCTTCGAGATTATATGGAATATTATCAATTTTTTACCCATTTTATCCCATTCAAACTCCACATTTCGATGCAAGAGAATCATTATGTGTTTTTTAGCTTGTATATATCAGCTTGTGGTTCATCAGAAACTGTATTTTTACTCAAAACAAGTACAAACTAGAGCACATTCCACAAAATCTAGATGATTATGGAGACAGATAGAGGTGGAGGGTGTGTGTGTGTGTGTGTGGTGGGGGGTGGGGGTGGGGGTGGGGGGGGGGGGGAGGTTGGTGTTTAAAAAAGCAAACTCCAGATGCATATATATATATCAGACGAATGAGCTACAATTTCACGAGGATGCGAAATTTACAAAAGAATCGAAACATAATTGGCCTAGTAGCTAGTGGCTCAATGCATTGCCACAACAATGGCAGGTCTTCAATCTATGTATGCACATGATAAATAAGTCGAATATAATACAACATCAAACCTAAGACAACAATGTTGTTTTTAATGTTTATAATCATCGACAGAGCTGCGCACATAATCCCTGAATTTGTGTTGCCGTTGGATTGAGGAGCGAATACGACCTGCTCTTACTGCTGTTTGAGCACGTCAATGTGTATTGGCTCCCCGTTTGCTCTGCCTGCAAGCCAAGAAACTCGGGACAATTAATTGCATGTTTTACTTATTGTCGATCACTTCACTAGTATCAAATATATGAGGGCAATTAAGGAAAAGCACAAAAACGAGTAGCGGTTTATTCACCTGACACGATATAGGCTGCGTGTTGCAGGACCATTTGGAAGTAGGAACACAGCTGAGATAATGGCACCACGAACAGTGATCATTCAAATCCACTCCGCGAAGAAGCAAAACCAATCCAACGGTGAACCTATTTTTACGTGGCAAATATATTTTAGTCGCCCTTCTATTTGATCTATGTATCGACGAAACTTACGAGGAAGAGTGGGAGTTGCTTACCCGACAACGAGAAGGATCAAAGAAAGTAGCCACAGTATGCGTTGATATGCCATAAATTTAGGGTTAGCTGCTCTTGATGTTGAAGAATATCCAGCAGGAGATGCTGCTGACGAATATCCAGCAGGAGAAATCGGGGCGTATCTCTGGTTAACCCAACCAAACTGTGGTCTGATCAAGAATACAAACCCCAGAAGAAAACCCGACACAAATCCTCCTATATGAGCAAAGTTGTCCACGTGTGGGAGGATTCCCACTGCTAAATTGATCGCAACAATTACCACAAGTGTCGTAAAAGCTGCCAACTGTACAAGATGTATAATCAAAGTGTGAGTCGAAGCAAATTTTTTAACTTCTTCAAGAACGACTTTTTAAAGTAGCATCGTTTATATATACCTTGTTGGCGTAGATGGTCCAATTAGTGATCAGCTCGGAAAGCATTGCTCCCAACAATCCAAAAAGTGCACCGGATGCACCGACCGATATATTTGACTGAATAAAAAGAGCCGATAACAAACTTCCTCCAAGTCCAGATATTAGATAAAGCAAACCAATTCTCACTGCAAATCGTCAAACATGGTAATTGTTAGTACCGAAAGTACGAGTACAATCATAATATAATCATTAAATTACGGTATCATATACGATCACCATCAAGTAACAATCCAATCTAAGAGACCCTTACCAAATCCAAACTCTTGCTCGAGGCGAATGCCGATAACTAGCAAACTCAGCATGTTTGCGAGTAAGTGGAAAACTCCGCCGTGTAACCACATACAAGTGATGAGGCGCCATCCTTGATGCTTGTCGACAACTTTAGCCACGTCTAATGCACCCATCTTCCCTAACCTAAATTAAACAAAAGGAAAATTTTAGGTCATTGGTTAGCTCCAATGAGGGAAAATAAATCAGACAAGGGAACCCATAGTTCAGACAAGATCAATTTAAAGACAAAGCAAATATGTTGTCCGAAAACAGTATTGAAACTTCGAAAAGCAGAAAACAGAGAAAAAAAAAGAAAGTGCTTACGCAGAAGAAGAAGGGCCGAGAAGGGGGTTTTCCTTAAAAGGCTGAAATGAAAACCTTCCGAGGAATCCGGCGACACAAGAAATTGAATTTTTGGGGCAATTGTTCACATACATACTAATGATGAACATAACTACGTTAGCCACCACAAAGGTAGGTATCAACCAGGGGAACCATTTCTTAAAATGCTTGACTTCTCTGTAATTAGCGGCGGGGCTCGCGGCGGCGGCGGGATGAGGAGATTCCACCGATACTGGGTGGATGGTGTTGACGCCCCTCCGCGAGTGAACTCGTATTTGGACGTTTTCCGGTGCGGCGGCCATCGGAGATAGAATGGGGTTGAGGAAAAAGGAGAGAACTTTGAACAAGGAGAAAATGTAATGAGGAAGGATTGATTGAATAATTCAATGGGATTAGGTTAATAGATAATAAAGCGGCATGTGTGAACTCAAAATTATTGTAATACGAGGGTTTACTTTTGAGTACCGACTCCCTCAAGTAAAAAACCAGTTCCTTGCTTGCTTCGACCTTTGTCCTTCTCCTCTGTCTTCCTTTGAACACAATTTTAATTTCACCCACTCTCTGATTCTGTCGGCAGGAGAGAGAAGAGAGGAGAGAGAGAGAGAGACGCGGTTTTTCCCCCGGACAAAATTAAGGGGATAATTTTCTTTTTTATAATTCAAATTTGAATTTTCAATAATGACAGCATATTATAATATAAATATAATATATTGTTTAAATAATTAGTAATATCCCAATTATACTTTTCATGGAAAGAGTCTTACCTATGATTGGGTCTTTTTATTTTAATATTATTTTGACTCTACGCGTTCTGATATTTCACAATAATAATTGCATTATTTTATTGCCTTTTTTTGTCATAGAGTAACGGCCTAATGATAAGAATGTAATTGCATGATTGGACTAATGGTAATGTAACGGCCCAATTTTAAATGGGTTGAACTTTGCAATATATTAGACCATCTCCATGTGGAGATGGGGTGGGTAGGGGTGGGGAGTCAAAACCACGTCCAATGGAGGTCGGTAATGGGGCGTTGGGTATAGGTGAAGAGAAGGGGGGAGGGAGCTTTGCTTTAAGCTGCCCCCTTCCAACTCATGTATTGGAAGGGGGCGCGTGATTTACTTGCCAATTTTTTTTTTTTTTTTTTTCTTTTTTCTCTTTTACATATCAAATTTATTTATTTATTTTTCTTTTTCTTTTGTATTTATTTTTATATTATATCATTATTTTATTTTATTTCATTTATTTAGTTACATAATTTAATACCACATAATTTCAATAAAATCAACACTTTGTAAGTAAAGACTTTTAATATTTTTTTTCATTTCTTTTCTTTTATTTTATTGTATTAATGGTTATTATTCTTGTTGTTTTTTAATTATTGAATTAGTGGAAGATTATTTCTTTACTTTTATTTGAATATTGTATTATTATAATTAAAATTATTAAAATTATTATTATTGTTGTTGTTATTATTATTATTATTATTATTATTATTATTATTATTATTATTATTATTATTATTATTTTTATTATTAATTATTATTAGTAATAATTATAATTAATTATTAGTTATTAATATAATATTATTATTATTATTATTATTATTATTATTATTATTATTATTATTATTATTATTATTATTATTATTATTATTATTATTATTATTATTATTATTATTATTATAGTGGTGAGAGTGGGAATTGGAAAAAAAGTAATAAAAGACCGAACGGTTGGAAACGACGTAGGTAGAGGGAGAGGGAGGGGGAGGGGGAGGGGGAGGAGAGGGGGAAAACCCCCCTCTCCATTGGAGATGCTCTTGTGTAAACTGTAAAGTGATATTTAATTTGTGGGCTGAATTAATTCTTCGGACTTATACTAATTCTAATTAAATTTGACACAAATAATTGGGTAAATTAGGGGTCAAATTAGGAATAAGCCATTACTGTTTAGGTAATTATAACTATTCATTAACTATGAAATTTTTTACACGTTCACCCTTGTGGCGTAAAATTTAGTAAAATTTACTAGATTATGTGGAATATTATTCAGTTTGTACCCGTTTTACCCTATTCGAGCTCCACATTTTTAAACAAGATGATCATAAGATGTGTCTCTGGACTTGTAAATGTTAGATTGCGGTCAATAAAAAACTGTATTTTTGCATAAAACGGGTATAAACTAGAGAACAGTCCACGAAATCTATAAGCTTCTGTTGAATTTGATACAGTAAAAGTTGACGTGTAATAAGATTCATAGTCCAAATGCAAGGGATTTTTCGTAATTTGACCCAACCCAAGGGGTTAGACCGTAATTTACAATAAATAATCAAAAGAAACCCCACCACGTCTAGAAAAATTGAAGAAAGCCAAAAATCTCGGAGAATTGCAAAATCTTGACTTTTTGTTGAAGGGCCGGAGAAGAAACCCAGAAACACCCTCTGTTACTCGTCACCATTATTATTACATTCTTTTTTGACTTTCATACACAATTAGCCGCCGAAGGATAATATTACAAATTAAAATTCAATAGTTTTTCCTCTTTTTTATTTTAAATTTAATAATCGTATACCCTATTCCAATTTACAAACAATATCTTACCAACTTTTTCTCCCCTTCGTCTGAATAATTTGAATTTTCTCTGCACCGAGATTCTAGCCACAATTATGGCTCCGGTCGGCGATCAGAAACCAGGCTCTGGGTTTTTCGCCTCCTTCGCTTCAACCATCTCCAGTTTTGGCAGCGCTATGTCCAAATCCGTTAATGGGTATCTCCATTAATTTTCCTCTTAATTTTTTCTCTGATTTTTAAGCTGATAGTACTGTTAATTTTTTTGTCTGTACTAGGAGCTGGAGTTCTTCAATTCCGATACTTGCACAAACTTTGCTGCTTGTTTATTTTGTAAAATTGTTGAGAATCATCAGGAGTTAGGAAATCATCGTTGATTTGATATCTAGGGTTTATTTGACGATTTCAGTTATGGGTATTCCCAAATTGGTATAATACTCTAGATTAACTTGAGATTATGCTTATTACTCTGATTACAATTTAATGACACGACTAGCAAGATAAACTTAATTGAGAAGATTTCACCCGATTGTCATACTTGGGAAACAATATCGTCGATTGTATTAAATGTATCCCTTTTCTTTTCTGTTTGGTACACTCACATGCTTTCCATCATAAACACGGTTATGCTGCACTTATAATATTTCCTTAGTTGTTGTTTAACACATGCACTTTCTTCACTCATAATTCGTTTTTTCCGTTGTCTAGTATGCTAGGTTACGAAGGTTTGGAAGTTATAAATCCCGAAGGAGGCACAGAGGATGCTGAGGTTGAAGCTCAAAAGGGAAGATGGAAGCAAGAGGTATTATAGTCGATGTTTTCAATACCAAAAATCATTTACGACTTGTCTGCATTACCACATCGCAAATCATTGACTACTTGTCCTCGTCGTATCCTGATAGTCGATGTTCTTTCTAGGATCGGGATAGTTTTTGGAAGATGATGCAAAACTATGTTGGCGCTGATGTCACGTCAGTGGTGACACTTCCAGTCCTCATATTTGAGCCAATGACGATGCTTCAGAAAATGGCAGAGGTTTGTGTTTTCTCGATATGCAAGCATCTATTATGATATAGTTTTTCGGAGGGCAAAAATGTCATGGGGAATAACTTTGTTTGCAGCTGATGGAATACTCGCATCTATTGGAATTGGCAGATGAATGTGAGGATCCTCACATGAGATTAGTGTATGCTGGTAATAATTATTATTTTTTTCAGTACTTTTTTTTTCTTCATGTGGATTCAATCTTGATACAATTATTCTGATAAGCAAATCATATTTCGTTCAGCTGCTTGGTTCATATCGTTATATTATGCAATTCAAAGGACCTGGAAACCATTTAATCCAATTCTCGGCGAAACATATGAAATGGTCAACCATTGTGGTATTACATTTATTGCAGAACAGGTGATCTTCTAAACACCGTATCCAACATTTTATGTCTCGTATGCATGAAATTCTCACTTTTATTTATTTTCATTTTGTTATGTTATGTTACTATGAGAGATTTATAATTTCCGACCAATGATTTTGATATCAGGTTAGTCATCACCCTCCAATGAGTGCAGCACATGCAGAAAACGAACATTTTGTGTACGACATTACTTCAAAGTTGAAGACCAAATTCTTGGGGAACTCAGTCGATATATACCCTGTTGGAAGGTAAAAAAAAAAAATCATTATCATCTTTTATGTTGATTTCAAGAATCTTAATTCAATGCTAGGAATCTTGATTGTGTCGTTATCGATTAGTTAGTTTATGTTTTATATGGTGCAGGACGAGGCTGACGCTCAAAAAGTCAGGTGTTGTTTTAGATTTGGTTCCTCCTCCTTCAAAAGCTAACAATATCATATTTGGGAGAACTTGGGTCGATTCACCTGGAGACATGATCTTGACAAACCTCACCACAGGAGAGAAGGTTGTCTTGTACTTCCAACCTTGTGGATGGTTTGGGTAAGAGAATATTCTACGACTATCTCTTGATGATGTACCCTTTCGATTTCCTCTTAATACAAAATAATAATTATAATGTGATTATTCAGTGCTGGCCGATTTGAGGTGGATGGATATGTATACAATGCTGAGGAAGAACCTAAATATTTGATGAGTGGGAAGTGGAACGAGTTTATGAGTTATCAGCCTTGTGACTCTGAGGGGGAACCCACGCCGGGATCTGAACTCAAAGAGGTTAGCAAATACGAGGATGTCTGAATTTTCACTTGTCTGATTGAGTGGCTGCAATATTTGCTGTTACAACTTTTCTTTTTAATTGTCGGCAAATTGTAATAATTCGTATGTTGGTGCAGGTGTGGAGGGCTGCTGAAGCACCCAAGAATGATAAGTTTCAGTATACGTATTTTGCACACAAATTAAATAGCTTCGACACTGCCCCTAAGAAGCTATTGCCCTCCGATTCTCGTTTGCGTCCAGATCGTGTGGCACTTGAGCAGGGTGACCTCTCCAAAGCTGGTTCGGAGAAAAGCAGGTTGCCCTCTCTCTCTCTCTCTCTCTCTCTCTCTCTCTCTCTCTCTCTCTCTCTCTCTCTCTCTCTCTCTCTCTCTCTCTCTCTCTCTCTCTCTCTCTCTCACACACACACACACACACACACACACACACACACACACACACAAACACAGACAGTTTTCGTAAATATAATCTGGTTTTGTGTTTTGAAGGCTGGAGGAGAGGCAACGAGCAGAGAAGAAGACAAGAGAGGCCAAGAAAGAACAGTATAAACCGAAGTGGTTTGATTTGACAAATGAAATCGGATCGACACCTTGGGGAGATTTGGAAGTGTACAAGTACAATGGAGAGTACGAAAAACGGCGCGCTGAGGTGGATAATTCCGACAGCGTCGAAGAAGAAACAGAGACCAATTCCACGGAGTTCAATCCATGGCAGTATAACGACTTCCCCTCTTCTTCTTCTCATGCTTGATTAAGGTTACTTTACAATGTCTACATATTTATGTTTTTTTATGCTTGAGATTGTTTAGTCGACTCTGATTGGCTAGCTGCTATACGAGTATGAATCTTTGACGATGCAAGTAGAATTTGAAATATGAGTTATGGCCAATTCTTGTTTTACTGATAAAGTTCAATTAATTTTCATAGTTGCAATTATTATTACTAAAAATGTACAAGTTGTAATAGAATAGGGTCTTCATGCTTTAAAGTGGGAACGTGGTATTTACTACAATTGAAAAGCTAAAATTGGCAAATACATTGAACCATAACTAGTCAAATTCCTAGTGGGTTCATTGTGAATTATTCCCACATTATTTTATATGGGTCAATTTCAATTAAACAAACATGGAATAAAATTTAATTATTTAAGGCCTTGTTTGATCGTCAAGAACCCAATCGTATTATTGGACATTGGAAGGCCCAATAAAAAAATATACCTAAAATGCAACATAGTCATTGTAACTAATATTTACGGGTCGATTCAACAAGTTATTGCGATACAAAACATCAAATAAGATCCAATTATTTAGTTAATAATGATTAATCTTTTCAATTAAACGAGACCCACAAAAATAAAAAAAGACAACCTAAAAGAAAAAGAAATGAAGAGGGAATAAGTTGCTTTTTCTGTTGTCGACCAAATATCTTTTCATTACTGCACATTTTTAATCATATATAATAAAAAAAAAAAAAATATCAACTTGATAAAAAATTAATTATAATCACTCGTCTTATGATAAGTGTATCGAGTAGTGGGATTCCATGTTCCTAGTATTATAATATGGATCTTTTCTTTTCTTTGTAATTTTTATTTTATTTTTCCCAACACAAACACACAGTGTGTGTGGAACCGTGGAGGGCATTTTCGTCAATAGAAACAATAAAAAATACAGGCAAGCTTGATTCAAGCATCGGACCACCTACGAGGAAGAAGACACAGAAAACAAATATTGGTGGGGCCCGGGCATTGGGAAATGATAAAATGAAAGGAGGTGTATGCATCGGAGCATGCAACCTCGTCCTCAGTTTGTTATTTTGTCACCTCAAAAGACGGTACCAAATCCCGATGTCTCATCACATGGTGCTACCTGCACGTGCACTCCATCTGCGCCTCCCACGTTGTACCTCCACAAAAATAATATTATTTATATCATTTGTAATTATAATATGAAACGAGAATAACTAATTAATCATTGAGAAATTGAGGATAAATTTTCACTAATCGTAATTGGTTGTTGGGGGGCTTTTTGGGGACAAAAAGTTTAACCATAGTGAGTGTGACGGTTGATTTGAAATTTGGTTCGGATTTCGGGGTCGCTGTTGAATTTATTTTATTTTTTCAGTATGTTTGAATTTTTATTTATAGTTGGTATTTATTTTATATTTTTTGTCTAGAGTTTCTACATCTTATTCCATTTTTTTTAATCATAGTCCAATTGTTCCAAATATGTAGCTTTTGTAATTTATACGTCAAGGTTTATTGTCAATTTGCTTCGAGATTTTTTTTAATTATCAATTTCATATTTGTGCTGTTCTTTTTAAATTAAAAAAAAAAAGTCAATATGAAGAATATTTTATTTTAAATATTACTAATATTAAATTTAGTATATAAAAAATACTGGAATTTACAAAAATAACACTAGGCCGTCAACAGTTCACCGGCTACATCCTTTAGTTTTATGAGTTATGACCAGACCACCACTCTCTCTCTCTCTCTCTACTCTTCTCTCTACTCTCTCTCTCTTTAAATATTTATATACTCGACAGTTTTCCTATGTTTCCCCTTCGTCTCCATCAATTAGGGTTTACCTTTTTCTGAGGTACGCTAATTCTCATATTTCTCTGTCAGCCTTTCTTCTCCCCCCACGTTCTTCTTCTTTTTTTACAGCACACCGATACTTTTGCACAACTACCTGAAGAAAAAAAAAAAAGACAACTTTTTTCATCAGAATTTATGCAAAAACCATTGAAGTTCGTCGCAAAATGTTGAGGTCAGTGATCAACTGACGATGTTCTTCCTCACACTTGTTTCAATTTCAATATTGTGCTGTAAATTGATTCTGTGAGGTGTAAATTGTGCTGTAATAAAATAACCCAGTTAGTTGTTGTATTTGGGAGTTTTTTTCCCAGTTAGGTTTTGGTATTTGTGAGGTTTTGAAGTTTGAGATTCATTCAACCGTTATCTTTCTTGGTTAGCTTGAGAAGAAGAAAAAAATGGATCCACGTTTTCATGGACCATTGAATTCTTCTTCAAACGGATTTCAATTAGAAAATCAACCAGTCCCCGATTTTTCGAATAGGAAACTCGTGAATGCACCTAGATTCGAGATTATTTATCCCGATAAAAAACCGGTCAATAGACAGCATAGAAACCAGAGTGCTCCACTTCAACAGCATCACATTGAAGGTCTACATTTAATCCCAAATCAGCCCTTCCCAAACGTGCCTATTCCCACCTCGTTTATCGACGTCGAAGATGGTTATCAAGACGACTGTGATTTCTCCGATGAAGTTTTGAGATTCATAGATCAGATGCTCATGGAAGAAGACATGGAGGACAAGACTCACATGCTTCAAGAATCGTTGGATTTTCAAGCCAAAGAGAAATCTTTCTACGAAGTACTCGGCAAAAAGTACCCACCTTCTCCAAAACCCGATTCGTCATCTCTTGTTAATCCGTACGGTGAGGTTGGTGATGATGGTTATTCTTATTGTAATCGCTATAATTCATCAACTAGCAGTAGCAATGGTAGTGGTTACCTGATTGATGTGGTGGATCCGAGTTGGATTAATAGTCGAGTGGATTATGATGCCTCTCTTGTTAACTCGTCGAATAGTTTGCATAATATTGTGAATGGATTCTCCGATTCTCCGGTGAGTCCTTTACAAGACGGTGATGCGTATAGCGAGAGTCAACTGGTTTGGAATTTTAGAAAGGGGGTAGACGAAGCGAGTAAGTTTCTTGCTAGTGGAAGTAAATTCATGGTCAATGTGGGACTTAATCAAGAACAACAAATTCATTCCGAATCGAGGGGGAAGAAGAATTACCATCTCGCGGATAGAGATTTGGAGGAAGAGAGAATTACGAAAATGCCCGCAGTTGCTGCAGAGTCTAGTATCCCGATAGAGGAATTCGACGAGGCGCTGCTTCATAGCATGGGGGAAGGGGAGAAGAAATTTGCTGTTTACAGGACGAATTTGAGAAACGAGGCGAATAAGATTACGCAGAAGAATGGGCAGGGATCCGGTGGTGCGAAGGGCCGTGGTAAGAAAAATAGCCGCAAGAAAGAAGTGATTGATTTGAGAACACTTTTGATTAGTTGCGCACAGGCGGTTGCTGCTGATGATTGTCGAAATGCGAATGAATTGCTGAAGCAGATAAGGCAGCATTCTTCGCCTTTTGGTGATGGAAATCAGAGGCTAGCTCATTATTTTGCTGATGGGCTCGAGGCTCGTTTGGCTGGAACTGGTAGTCAGATACATAAAGCCTTTGTCAGCAAAAGAACCACAGCAGCCGATTATTTGAAAGCTTATTATACATACATTGCTTCGTCTCCGTTTAGAAAAATCTCGGCCTTTGCTACAAACAAGTCGATCCTAATGAAATCAGGGAAAGCAACGAGACTCCACGTCATAGATTTCGGTATTCTTTACGGCTTCCAATGGCCGACTTTGATCCAACGTATTGCAGATAGGGAAGGGGGCCCACCGAAGCTTCGGATTACGGGCATTGACTTTCCACAACCGGGTTTTCGGCCCGCGGAGAAGATTGAAGAAACGGGTCGGAGATTGGACCACTATGCGAAAACATTCAATGTCCCGTTTGAGTATAATGCTATAGCGCAGAAATGGGAGACTATTAAAATCGAGGACCTCAAAATCGAGGAGGGAGAATTTGTGGTGGTGATCTGTTTGTATCGAACCAAGAACTTGCTCGACGAGACTGTGGTGGCGGAAAGTTCTAGAACAACGGTTCTGAACCTGATTAGGAGAATCAACCCGAATCTATTCATACACGGGATAGTAAACGGGGCTTATAGTGCTCCGTTTTTCGTAACACGTTTTCGAGAGGTTCTGTTCCATTTCTCGGCTTTATTTGATATGTTGGAGGCGAATATACCTCGGGAGAAAGCAGAGAGAATGCTGATCGAGAGAGACATATTCGGAAAGGAAGCGTTGAATGTGATAGCATGTGAGGGGTGGGAGAGAGTGGAGAGACCAGAGACGTACAAGCAGTGGCAAGTTCGTAATTTGAGGGCGGGGTTCGGGCAAGTGCCGTTCGAGAGGGAAATAATGGAGAGGGCGATCGATAAGGTGAGAACTTTTTACCATAAAGATTTTGTGATTGATGAAGATAGTCAGTGGCTTTTGATGGGTTGGAAAGGCAGAATAATCTATGCTATATCCTGTTGGGAGCCTGTTTGATTAATTTGGACAATCTTTTTTGTGCAGTTTAAGGTAATAAGCTTCTTTGTAATAAAATTCTTCAGGATAATTGGCTATGTTTCTGATAATAATCATGTTGTTTAGTCACTCCCACAATAAACAGATACACAGCTGCCACTGGGAATTAAAAGAAGCTTATTTTAAACCTTGTTTTGTTTTTGCTGACGTGTAATGCCTATTTATTTCTCATGTAAAGGGATTAACATTACTAACTTTTTTTCTAGCATCTTCCAAGAAAATGTTGAAAAATTTAATTAATTAAATCACTAAACTTTGTGAACTGTAAATATGTCATAATTTAACAATCTTTTGGTACAATAATGACGTGTAAAGCTCCACTTTGATGTGACTGATTCTTAAAAGTGCTCTGCCCATTCAGAAATAATTAGCCTGTAAGATAATATAAAGTCTGGGTATTATATTTGAAATTTATAACATGGCAGATGCCCTGGGCTCAATTCATTTTTATTTAAAATAAATTAGATTATTAATTTTTTTTTTAAGTGGATCAAATTGTCTACAGCCACTCAAAAAGTCAATTCCTCGATTGAATAGCGCCCATTGGCCAAATATAAAATAATATGATAATAGTTAATTAAGAAGGTGAAATTGTTTTATATTTCCACCAAAATCAATTATTAAGATTTTTTGTCAGCTCAAAACCAGTTTTTTTGCAATACCCTATCCAACGACGTCGTTTTTGGGCTTTTCATTGAGTGGGCCTTCAGAATGAGGACCAACATTTACCAAATAACACATATCGAGTATTTTGTTAGTTTTTTGGGCCCAATAGATTTATTTCATACCCGACCCATTTAGCCCAATTTTCCTTGAGGCAGCCCGACAACACTTGAGCTCACTAGTCCGATCAAACTCTTTAGACGAATCTAGATCTTCGATCCTGGCCATCGATGCTCACCGTTTGATGACGATGAAATACATTTTCGACGAGAAAATTCTTTATTTATTTATTTTAGATAACAAGAAAAAGGAAAAAGGGAAGTTACATAATCCGATAGAAGGAAGAGTTGCTCAGAGGATCGGAATGAATTAATACAACTAGTTACCATGCAAGTATTAATAACAGAAAATACAATAAAAAAAGGTGAATTAATTAATTAAATCAAGCAAAGCTAATGACAGAAGTCTCCATTACAGAAACCCCGGAGTAGTTATTAGTAGCTTCCGCAAGTTCATCCCAAAGCTCCGGTATCGCTTCCCTCAGATTATGAATACTTTCTAACGCATAATCGGCTCCTTTCACTCTCTGGCTTTTACCAACCTACCATCAAAAAATTTACTCCAATTAAATCATATATACATAAATAAATTAAAAAATCGCAAGATTTTCCGAACATTTTTATGAACTTACGAGCACAGTTTGCAATCCGAGGCGTTTTCCCGACTGGATGTTTCTGACACTGTCCTCAAAGAACAGCTGCAAATCAGACAGAGATAAAGAGGATTAAGTATTTAATCAAGTACAAGTAATAATGTCAGAAAGAAAGTTGTGTAAAAGAACTAACCGTTCGATGTGGATCGATATTGGCGATTGTAAGAGCCCTTTCGATGGCAGATTCTAAAGGCTTGCAGACAATTGGTGTCTTTGGCAGTCCAGATGAACCTACATTAGTATTCGTCTGTGAAAAATGTCGAATGATGTCGAATATTTCGTTCGAACGAGGCGGTGGTGGTTCATGTGTCGTGGACCCCACAAACTCGATATCGTCCTCGTCATCGGAGGCAGTGCTTCTGTGAGTTGGATTTAGAGTCTCGAAGCAGATTATCCCTTCGAAGATGCCTTCTAGCCCAAGTTTACGCAACACTTTGACAGCGTGTATCTTATCAGCATTTGTGAAGATCTGTTGTTCAATTAATGCACTTATTAATTAGTACAAATATGAAATAAAAAACTTTAGTATATATATCTATATCTATATATATAATGTATGAAGACACGACGAAGAAGAAATGCGTTAAAATGTTTCGTACCACTTTGCGCATTGGTAAGCTCAACAAAAGGCTTCTCAAAACAGGGTCAGGTTTCAAATTTTCATAAGGTAATCTCCCATGTACAAAACTGCAAGATTTCAATTTATTCATATCTTAGTAAATCTTTAAAAATATAATAACAATTTCATGAACAAAATACGGTAATGTCGAATGTGAACGAACCTATGATACTCGTCATAGTCAAAATCATAGCCAATTGCCTGCAATAAAGATTACTATTCTATTATATATCATGATCATTAATTCATTAATCTTTTTGTACAAAAAAAACAATTTTAATCAGTATAAAAAGAAGGCTTAATTACCCTGAGACCTGCCATTGTGGTGCCATAGTTTTTATACAGTAGATTGCACAAGTCGTCGATTTTACTCTCTTCTATACGCAACTTTTCGATCATGTAATCTTAAAAAAAAGAACAAAATTAAAACATATGTTAGAATAAATATACTAGATACAGAGTAATTAAATTTAGTAACGTATATATATATATATATATATAAATATATATACCTTGAATGTTCTTAAGTACTGACGTGGCTAGACCAGCACTGATTGGGTAAAGGGTATCATCAAGGTCTAAAACAAATGCCAAGAAAGAAAATAGATTAATAAGTCAAATTATCATCAAAAAAATGAATTAAAGATTGTTTAATTAATGGTAAGAGGATTAATTAATTACCAAAGAGAAGGCAGTCGTATTTTGGTGTTTGATGAACCTGACTGTACTCCATACTAAGAGAGGAAATTACCGAAATAGGGCTAAGAATATTTCACAATTACAAGACAACTGTTTTTGGAGAGAGAGAGAGAGTTGGAATTGGAAGGAGTGGAGAAATGGAAGCTGCATTCGTGGAGTTTAAATAACCAAACCGTTGCGCCTTTTCATTTATTTAATTTTAAAAAAAAAATTGACTTAAAATATTATTAAAATATCTTTTAATCATGTTTAAGTAGGTGCAATAAAAAAGAGTAAATAAGTAAAAATAAATAAATAAATAAAGCGTAACGTTGAACTGTATTTCGGGATATTATAGCTGTCGATGATGTTGATACCATTCTAATTCATTTATCATTTTGTAGGCATTAATTATGTTAAACACATTGTGTAGTCTAAAATATTTCCATGGGGGACAAATACCAGCATTTTGGTAATTGATATTATGTACCTAATTCTGAATTTGGACAATTAGCCTAATTGTTCTAAATGATAGATGTAACGGTTTTAAATGAAATAATGAATCAAAGCATATAATTCAATGATTCAAAATTCGAACATATATAGATATTAGAGTAAGTGAAACCACAGTAATTAAAATCATCTCTTTATATGTTGAGTATAGTGTGTCCACCACTAGCAATTGATTTTGCTAAATTAGGTTTGGCAAGAATGTGTGTAGAGAGTCCAACCACATAAAATCACCAAATTCATATCCCACTTTTGGATTTTTTGCAATTTATTCCACTACTTTCCAGCTATAAAGTTAGTACATTACTATGGATTTCCTTGCAAAATCATTAAAAAAATGTAAATGCATGTAAGGGAAATAAATAAAAAATAAAATGAAAAGTAAACAACCGTGAACTGCGTGACAATAAATATTTTCACGAACTTGCCAAGAAGAAGAACGGTGTTTCAACATATAATAATAATAACGTGATCCGTTCATCATATGTCCATTAAAATAAGTGTTTTTCGACTAGCTCCGAGGTGATAAGTTGGTGTAAGGTTCTACGATCGAGTGGCAACCATAGTGAATTTAACTCCATCGAAGATTGGTTCTTTGTGTGCACCAGACCCAAATCCACTACCCTAACGAGTCGTTGAGGGGGCCGGGGCGAGAAATTTTCCTTTTGGTGCAAATAAGTGTTTTTCATTGCTTTATGGAGTTAATTTTTTTTTCTTCTAATTAATGAACACAATTTTTAGGGACAATTTAACTGATTTCATCAATGTAATGGTATACAATCTTTGATTATGAAATAATACTTAAAGATTAATTCTTCTAGCTTAGCTAATTAAAAGTGTTGGTTTTCATTAAACATATGAATAAGCCATAAGCTATATGCATAACTTCTTAGAATTTTCCTACTTAGAGGGTTGGTGTATGTGTGAATGCACAATTTCAATTATTATATATATACAATTTTTTGCAATTAATTAATCGTGTATCACTAATTAACATGTCACTCTATTGTGAAAATGACCAATATTTATTAATCTTGAACTAAATTTTCTAATCAGGGACACCAATAATTGGATCCTAAATATAATTTGCACTATACTCCAACTACATAAAAAAAGAGTAGCACAAAAGAAATACTTAACAAGGAAATAGATAAAGACCCTGGATTAGTCTTCATTAATTACTAGTCTTGTCAAATATTTTAGTATGTTACAATTCATTATAGTATACCTTACGTACACATTATTACAACTATCTTTTTTTGACTTTTTCGATTAAAATTTATTTTGACATTCTCAATTATTTGCACCTAGCTCCAAGCTGGCTAGCCCTGCTTGTGACACAAATAATTTTTGAAAGAATTTATGGTCCCGAATTCGTTTAATACAGAGATGTTATCTGAAATGTTGTGACACTTGAGACAACATGCAGCGGAAATATAAAGATTAAACGACAGTACTCAGAATTAAAAATGTTCACAAGTAAAGACTTGTGAACTTGCCCTTTACAGGACGGAAAAAATATATTAAAAACAGTATTCTAAGAATACAAACAGAAGAGTGCGAAAACTTCTTCCTTATGAATGAATCTTTTTCAAGATCACTCTTACAACCAAATCTAGATACTAAAAGAAAAATATTAAAAATTCTAGATTTCAAAGAATGTACTCATAAAGAGTACGTACAGAACTTATGAATGAATCACTATCTTGATCATTCTTACAACCAAGTCTAGAAACATATATACTAAACAATCTAGACTACAAAGAATGTACTTATGAGAAGTACGTAAAGAATGTACTCATAAGGAGTACGTAAAGATTGTACTCATGAGGAGTACAAACGACCGATTCTAAAACCACTCTAAAACTCTCGTGAATATTCTTCAGCCCTCGGTTTTTATTTCGTAGAATCGATAATCTTCCTTGAGTATTGAAGTCGGTATTTATAGGCATTCCAAGCATCCACTCCTCAGCCCATGATCTGCAAGAAAACCAACTACAAGAGCACTCAAGAACATGGGTTAGTGGGTTAGTGGGTTAGTTTAAGGAGTTAGAATAATATTCACAATTAAACCCACTTAAGCACTACTTAACCCACTAACTACTATACTTAACCCACTAAGCACTACTTATTTAATAATTAAAATTTAGTTAGAAAAATAGGAAAGTTAAAAACAATTCCACGTGTTTCAAACTCCCCCTTTTTAACTTTCTGATCAAAACTAAATTTTAGCTTAACTCCCCCTGAGTCATTGCTTGAACTCCCCCTGAATATGATAACCAATATAGCAAATAACAAAATAGTGCAATCCAAAGTCTCCTCAGTATCAGCTGTTGTTCCTCCATCACTAGTACTGAATCCACTACTTTCCTCTGCTCCTTCAGCTTCACCCTGCTTCAACTTCATGATCAGCTTGTTCTCCCCCTTTTTGATCAGAAAGAGCTCTCTGAAGCATTTCCACCATGCACTGATGATAGGTGATCTGAACTAGCGAGTGAGTAAGCTGTTTAAAAAAAAATCTCAAGAAACAGAAATAAGGATGTCAGGAGTGTTGTCAACATGAGGAGCAACACCTTCAGTACCAAGATTATTTTGACCTGATTCATTTGAGAGGAAATTATCTCCATTCCAGGGAAGATCTTAAAATTTTGAGAAAGCAGAATGGAGTAGATGAGAGAGGGATTTAAAACGATTGCCAAAAAGAGTTTTACAAACTTCAGTAAAATCACCATAATTATCCTCATCAAACACAGTAGGAGTTTGTAAATGAGAGTTGATAATTTTGTGAAAAAGAGAAAAATGATTCGCACAAAAACTTTTCCAAAGTTTGGAGAATTTTTCTTTAAAAAATTTGTAAATTGGCATAAACATTCCTTCACAACAGAAGGATCACAAGGACAGACAACCTCAACTAGACTAAGGATTTTTCTTTGGTCAAGAAATGCAGTGATCCTATGTCTATCAAACTCATCCTTGGAAATTTTCTTTTCCTCATTGAATTGACAATTCATGATTTGAGGACTCAAATTTGAATCAGATTCAAAATAAAAAATAGGACTGAAGGCATTGTTTACCGCAAACGGAGTTGACAAATCCTTCCCATCCAAGTCTAGCTCTTCTTCCTCAGAGGATTCCTCTTCTTCTGAGTCTTCAAGTTCATCTGGGATGGATGCTGGCTCAGGTGATGCAACAGGTGGGACAACATCTTCTTCCATCAACTGTCATCACTTTTCTTTTTCTCTTCAACCTGGGAAGGTGGTGCATCCACTTGAACAGCTGCCTCTGCCAGAGTTTCCAGAGGATCTTCATTTGGAGCTGAGGGTGTAGGAAGTGAGGTTTCTTCTGTGGTGGCAAAGTCCTCGGCATCAGCAGTGGTGATATCTACTTGCTCAGCAAAGGACATCTCAGAAAAGTCTGGCATTTCCTCATCTTGATAACGATCAGCATCCTCAGCAACATTTTGAGAAGCATTGTCTGAGACAGTAGGTGCAGCAGCATTTTCAGGAACATGTGCAGCAACATCTTCGGAAACAGGATGTTGAGAGGGAATTGCTGCCATGTTGGACTGAAATGTCTCCCCCTGAGTTGATGCTGGTGGAGGTGAGTCTTTGGAAGATGACTCAGTGGAGCTTGATGAGAGAGCTTGGGCTTGGTTCTGCAAAAGTAGGATCTCCTTCTTCGTCATCAGTTTCTTCCTCAACCAAATGAAAGCCTCTTGGTGGGTTTGGCCTAACTGGAGTGCGACCGACTCTGCCGCTTCTTCTTCCACCTCTGCCGCTTCTTCTTCCACCTCTGCCGCCTCTGCTGGGAGAATGTCCTCCGATCCCCTCCGGCATTGTGATCCAGTAGCATTCAGATCTGGGAAGGAATTCATGCGCTTGGACCGGCGAGTTGGAAACCTTCCTGCATTGGAAGAGGGACCCACGTACTCGAAGTTGTCTGGGTCAATCGAATTCAGCTCGTCACCGGGCCCAATGAAGCTGGTCGGCATGGCTTCAAGGTTGACAGGATGAACGATGATGGCTAGATTTGGGTCTGCTGGTTCAGGTGCTGCAGCATCCTTGTGCACATCATCAACGGCTGGAAGAGGATTTCTAGGAGGAGATGCCATGATACAGTAGATAAAAAAATTGCTTCTTGTGCTTTTGATTTTTGAGTGTGAATTTTCGAAAAAAGAAGCACGAAATTTATAAGCCCTAATTTTTCTTTGAAAAAATTGAAGTGGAGAAGGTGTAGAAGTGGTGTGCGTTTCCCTTGGAGAGAGTGTGATTACCGAGAATAAAGGTTATTTGGCAGTTAAAACAAACGTGACACATG